GCTGTGTTCATCCAGCTCTGCACCTTGTTGTCTATGTAATAACAAGGCCTTGTGAGAGGGGTTAGGGGTAAGGACTGGGAGAGCTCAAGCCCTAAAGTTATGGAACTCGATATTGAGTCCAGAAGGGTGCAAGGTCCCCAAACAGGAAATGAAATGCTGTTCTTCCAGCTTGCGCTGAGCTTCACTACAGCACAGAAGCAAGCCTGAGACAGAGATGCTGGCCAGGGAACAGGGTGGTGCGTTAAAGTGGCAGGCAACTGGAAGCTCAGTGGTTTTTTTATGCAGATAGAATGTAGATGTTCTGCGAAGCGGGCACCCAGTCTATGGTTCATTTCGCCAATGTAGAGGAGACCACATTGTGAGCAGCGAATGCAGTAGACTAGATTGTGTGAAGTGCAGGTAAAGTGCTGCTTCACCTGGAAGGTGTGTATGGGGCCCTGGATAGTGAGGAGGAAGGAAATAAATGGACAGGTGTGATACCTTCTGCGGTTGCAGGCTTTGGTCATTAAGGACATGTTAGTAGCTTTTGCTGGCACTCGAGTTACCCTAATATTATGGTAACCTCTTCATTGAAAATGAATATGTTCCCTCAATTTAAGCCCACAGACTGAGTGTAAACACTCCACAATTTGTGACCAAACTCTACCAGCACAATAGGAGCCAACTTTTAAAAAGGTGTATAAAAATTGGTGAATATTTAGAAACTTAATTTTGACCAAATTTGTCAAATAGATTATATCCCAAAAATCTTCTCAATGAGAATCACTAACAAATGCATTGACAGTGAGATCGTTATCTTCAAAGTAAAGTAAATCGCCTTAGTCTTTACCTGTCTTTGCCAGCACAAAATATTGACTCTAAAATATAAAAGAAAACAAAAATGAGTTACGCATACTTATGATGCTGGAATAAACTGGCAAGAACAAAACAAATGCATTTAAGCTAGAAATTATGATTATTAGATTATTTAAGAAGTGGATTTAGGAAAAGATAATAATCATGAAGGAAAATGCAGTCATGTTATTCAAAATAACTTAGAAGCCAAACATTCACTAATTATTATGGGTTGCAATCCCACGGAATATATGCCTACAGTACTTCCGTTTCTTTAAGCAAGGCACATACCTAGAGTAGGATCTGGAATTCCTCCAGTCAAACCCAGTTTCTGGACTTCAGATTGAAAGTGTGAGTTCACCCAAACCGTCACCACAGTTTCATTAGCTCCACTTTGAAGAGCTTGAAGATTATATCCAAGCAAGTCAATCAGATTCTGGGCGCTCAAGTTCTGAAATGAGACAATTAAACACGTGATAAATGAACATGTGCACACCTCATGAAAATCAGTTTCACGTAACGCTGAGGAAACCTGATGATATATAACCATATGAAAAAAGCAAGATTGTCATTTTTAGACTGCTCATTATAATTTCAGCAAATAGATTCACAGGAATAAAATGTTGCTTTGATGCAAATAATAGAGAATCGGAACCTTTAATGTGACTTCTCCACTGACAATTGAATCACATTTACATAAATGTCATTAACATCAGTTCCATGTGCCAATTTTATACCATCTAGTGAATCTCCAAACGTGTGTACTACACAATTTTCTTCACGTGTTTTATTGGCATCTTCCAGAAAATGCATAGTTGCTCCCGACTGGAAATGCAGGGCAACATCAAACTACCCACCCAGTAGAAATCAAACAGATCAGCAATTAAAGTGCCTCGAGATAATTTTCCTCTCTGGAACTTCCAACACTGCCTCTTTTACAATTTTATCCCACTCTCCTTTCGAACTCCCTTCCTCATAACACTATCAGACTGCCTACACTCCAAAAACTACAGCCACGCAAGAAGAGAGCTCACCACTACCTTCTCAAGGCTAATTAGGAATGAGCAGTAAATGCTGGCCTAGCCAGCGACACTCAGATCCCATCAATAAATTTTAAAAAGGAGGGTCCCAATCATGTTAATGGAGCTCAACTGTAGTTATATTTAAGGCAAGAGGGGAGCAGGATGCAGTGGTTTTCCCATCTAGTCAATCTGACAGCTGAAGAGGACCAAATCTGGAAGAGGTTAGGAAAGGTGCTGATCTTTCCTAGAGCTCCCCCACTAACCTAGTTTCCAGAACATTCCAGCAACTCAATCCCATCACCTAGCTGTGGTGATTATTACTCACTTCCCTCCAAATCAGCAGAGTGGTTGGAATCAGATAGAGCTCACAATGATACTGTCAATTAGAGAATTAATTAGTCCACACACTTTCCCATTAAAAAAACTTGCTGGTAGTTAAAATACTTGTCAAAACTACCTCAGCAATTAAATCTTAATCAGCAAAGTATACCTTTACTTCCTCGGGATTCAGGCTTATGAAGGTTGCAAAATCCATGTTTACTGAGTTATTTGCAAGCATCTCAAGATCACCCTGTGGGATACCACCTTAAATAAAAGAAATACCATTCGTAAGAATATCAGAATATAAGATAAGCTGGAGAAAGCTATTCAGCCTCTTGAGCCTACTCTGCCATTCAATACAATGATGGCTGATCTGATTGTGACCTCAGTTCCACTCCATAACCCTTACAGACTGAAAATCTGACTAACCCAGTCTTAATCAAATTCAGTGAATCAGCTGACACCGCTCTCTGAAGTGTGATTTGGACAAGTTGAGTGAGTGGGCAATTGCATGGAAGATGAGATATAATATGGAAAAAATGTAAGGTATCCACTTTAGCAACAACAGCAGGAAGGCAGATTATCATCTGAATGGTGATAGTTTAAGAAAGGGAGAGGTGCAATGAGGTACACTAACCACTGAGAGTAAGCACGCGCTACTGTGGGCAATGAAGAAGGTAAATGGTATGTTGGTCTTCATAGCAAGAAGGTTCGCGTACAGAGCAGGGATGTCTTGCTGCAATTGTACAGGGCCTTGGTGAGACCTCACCTGGAGTACTGCGTACAGTTTTGATCTCCTTATCTGAGGAAAGATGTTCTGGTTATGGAGGGACTGCAACCAATGTTTACCAGACTGATTCCTTCAATTGGATTGGTTATGACTAAATTAACTGGAGTTTCGAAGAATCACAGGTGATCATTCCAACAAGATTAGACAGGGCAAACACAGGAAGATATTCCCAATGACACGGGGAGTCCAGAACCAAGGGTCACAGTTTACAACATAGGTAATTTAAGACCAAGATGAGAAGAAATTTCTTCATCTAGACATTCATTCATTACCACAGAAAGTAATTGAGGCCAATACATTGAACGTTTTCAAAAAGGAGTTAGATACCGTTGTCAGGGCTAAGGGATCAAAGGAAATGGGAAGAAAGTGGGACTGAGTTGGATGATCAGCCAGGGTCACAGTGAATTGCACAGACTCGAAGGACTGAATGGCCTACTCCCGCCCATTTATTTTCTATGCTACAATGAAATCACCTGGAAATTGTGAGTTGCAGGCACTAGTGCCTTGCTTTTGAGGCTGAATCTCTGGGTTCAAGTCCTACTCCAGGACTTGATGGTCAAGCAAGGTCCATTCATAACACAGCCAAGTAGGGTCAGTATTAACTAGCAAATCCTTTTAACACAACATTGGCAGGCAGGAAGAGCAAGAAAGATTCCTGGCCAAACATGTGATGGAAAGAATTTGACGAGTCTTCCATCACTGTCCATAGTTCCAGGCTACAACATACATGTGGAAGTGCATATTGCCAAAGCACCCCTGACTCGTCACAGGGCTGGGTGGCTCCATAGCAATAGATAAGAAAAATAGATAGATGGATGGATAGATAGATAGATAGATCAATAGATAGACAGATAGATAGATCGATAGATAAATGAAGCAACTGTGTAAACATCTTAGCAAGATTTGAATTTTTTTTAATCTGAAAATGCTATATATAATCTCAATACTTTGAGACAATGTCAATACTTGCAAATAAATTTATAAGACACTTTTCTATCCAATATTTTGAGTTTTCTTTTTTAATCAAACTGTTGGGGCAAGTTACAATACACCTCTGGAGAAGTTAAGACTTGATCATTGACATTCTGGCCCAAAGGTTTTACACTACAACTATACCACATTTCTAACATTCACTTCAGGCAAATTACAACTTCTGGTAGAATAGAGGAAAAAGGAATGTATCTGAACTCTACAAGCATTACGAGTTGCTGTTGATTGTTATTTCTAAGCTTAAAGGTGAATAACACACAAGCATTTGTTCATTTACCTAGATATGGCCTCAGTAGTTGAAAGTAGGGTATAGGGCTGCTTTGCTGAGATCTCAATGCGGAGGATGCTTGGTTGTACAACAGATTTTTCTGTGACTGTGTACACGTTGAAAGATCCAGTGCTCCTGCATCCCTGCAAAAGAACACTTACAGCATCAGGCTTTATTCTCGGCTCACACTTTTTAAACCAAGTTCCACATTTCAATTCAAATGTATTAAGGTACCACTTCCTAAGCAATGTATAACACAATCAAGGACAGGCAGACTTGATACAATATATACCATCCTACGGATGCCAGCAAAATTGATCGGTAGATTGTTTGAAGAAACTAAAACAAAAATGACCATTATCACTTAGACTAATAAAATTTCCATGCAATTAAATTGAGGCATACAACTTTGAACATGTTGCTTCTCAAGAATGCTTCTTCACATCGGTATTCGCCAACGAGAAAGAAATGGATGATGCTAATTTTAGAGATGGGTTGGTTGATATTCTAAGGCATATCGGTATTAAGGAGGAGGAAGTGTTGGGCATTTTGAAAAACATTCTAATGCAGAAGCAGCAAAGGCACTGCAATGTGTTGACATAAGGGCAAATCGAAATTGTCAAATCTAGATAAAATGCACCTCTTCAGGCAATTACTTGATGCTATTTTTAAGGAACTTAAAATGACCCATTTATCCTGACACTCTGTTTCCTGTTCATTAGTCAATCCCTTAGTCTTTCTGTGCTCATTTATCCTGTGCAGCAGTACTTTACGAGGAACTTGATCAAGTGTACTTGCATTTCCAAAAGATGTATCTACTGTTTCCCTTCTATCCACACTGGTCATTTTGTCCTCAAAGAACTCTAGTACATTTGTCACACATGATTTCACCTTCACAAAAGAATGTCGACTCTAACTGATTGCATTATAATTTCTAAATGACCTGCAACTACCTTCTTAACCTTTTTTCCAATGACTAGTTAGACTAACTAGTGTAATTTCTTTCTTTATTCTCCCTTGAATGTGGATGTTACAAACTGCTGACACCTTTCCAGAATCTCAGGAAGTTTGGAAAATTACAATCAATTCATCCACTATGCCTGCAATCACTTCTTTTTATTTCACATGAAGTCCATCCCAATGGTACAGCTCTCTGTTTACACTGTGCTGGTGTCAATGCTGCATTTCTCCCAACTCAGTCTTTGAATCACGCATTCAGGTCTCTGACCATATTTGAGCAATGCCAATTTGCTCGTGGTTCAGGTGTAGGTCATCATTTGTGTGGTTCTACATTTTAATTTTGTGCCTGGCTGCTCACACCTCCTCAGGAAAGCCTCTTTCTTAGTCCTTCCTATATCTTTGGTACACAAATGGACCATGACAACTGGATTCTCTGATTCCATTCTAGCCTCCTCCTCCCTGAGGAGTCCTTAACTATGGCATCATACAGACAACACGGCCTTCAGGATTCACACACTCAGTTGCAGAAAGCAGGATCTGTCCACTAACTGTACTGTCCTCTATCACACATCGATTTACTACTTCCACCTTGATGGCCCACTGCCCCATTGTGCTATGGTCAATTTGCTGGCTCGTCTCCTATTCTCGTTCACAAAAGATGCAAGAACGTTGAACCTACTGGGAAATTGCAAGAGCTGAGACTCCTCCATTGCTACTTTCTGGATGCCCCATTTATAGTCACAACTCCTTTCCCTTGCTACAGGCCAAATCTGAAGTTTTGTCTACTGTAACAAGGTGTCCAAGTAACTAAAGTGCTGCCTGAAGTACTACAGTGTCTGCAAATCCAGTTCTTCAACTCTGAGCCACAATCTTTGAACTGCAGTCATTAAATGCAGTTGTGGTTACCATGGAACACACTGGTGTTCACTATTTCACACAAGCTACAGCTGCAAAACATAAATTGCCTTTCTTTATTGTGTGTCATTTAGCTGACTCAATTTCGATTTTAGAATTTTTGCTCAAGTGTTCTCTGCATATATTCCAAGTGGATTAACTGATTAAGTACAGATTTCAACTACTGTTCACATTTAGAGGATTAGATCTTTAATATTCGACAAACAATTACCTATCAGCTGACCTAATTAAAACCTTTGAACACACAGCAGCTTCTAGAGGCTGTAGAACAATTATCTAAGGCAGAATCTTCCTCCCACTCTACACCAAATTCCCAGGTTGGCACCTGTACCATGTCATACTCAGTCTTTGTCTCAAATTGGGGTTTCAAACTCCTTATCTTCCAAAGCTGTCATGGCCTTGTTACTTGTAAGTTACCTCTAGTCCTACATCCTTGCTCCCATTTTCCATTATTCTGATTCAGGTCAATTGTGAAATCTCCATATAAATAAAAGTAAAATAATGCACGTGATGAAAGTCAGAAACAAAAACAGAACATGCTGGAGAAACCCAGCAGGTTTGGTATTATCTGTGGGGAAAGAAACAGAGTGAACCTTTTAAGTCACATATGTCCCTACTTCAGAAACTCTTCATCAGATAATTGTAAAATCCTCTCCACTTTACTCCGCAATCAATGGTAGACTATCTTGTCTCCATATCTCAGTTCTCTCCCTAAACCTCTCCATTTTATCACATCATTTCCTAATTTTAAAGGCTTTATTAATATGCATTTTCTTGATCTAGCCTTTAATCATCACCTTAATTCCCTCTGCTAGAGTTTGAACTCCAACTGCAAAGTGTCTTGTAAGATTGTGTTCAATAAAATCTGCGATATAAATGGAAATAGGTGAGATCAGTAAATTCGCAAAAGAAAGTTTCAACACTTACGTTAAATTTGAAATTGTTACCAACAGGCTTTCATTCAGAAGGCACAGATTTGGACCACCAATAGCTTTTACAGAAACTGCATTCAGAACTCCACCCAATTGAAGATATCTTTCAATGATAGATTTCACCTATCAAAAGAAATTTAAAGAATAATTCAGAAGGCATTTTACCAAGAAGAGCATATACATTATTTTTTGAGATTGCTGGCCTTTCCCAAATATATATCTGAATAAAATTTCAATACCTTCCTAAAATTGCATTGACGTCAATCTAAATAAAAGTTGGAAGAGATGTAAATTGAAGAGATATCAATTTGTTGTCATTCCTACACTTTTGAGTATTTCGAGTTACACATCGGTGGAGAAATTAATTCTTCATCATTCTGTTTGGGCTCAATTCAAGTCCATGCTCAGAGATGATGAACATTAAAGAAATAGAAACAGGAACAGGTCAAATGCCCTTTGAGATCACTCTGCTATTCAGTAAGAGCATGACTGAACTTTCAAATTAGCTCCACTTTCCCATCCGTTTCCCATTTCCATTGCCTGGCTAAGTGTTCTAGTCAGTTTGCCTTAGGCTTCTAAGAAAACTTCAGTGACTGAGCATTCACAACCTATAGGATAGAGAATTCCAAACATTCATAACCCTCTAACAGTAGAAATATCTCCTTATCTCATCCCTGAAGTTGCTGGACCCCTAATCCAGCAAATCAAGGCTCTAAAACTAAGACTAAAGGCCTTTCAGCTTTTATCCTGTCAAGAACCTCCTTAAGAACTTTGTACTTCATCAGTCCAGTCATGCCATAGAACAATCTACTGAACATTTATAGGAATGAAAGTAAATATTTCCTTAGATAAGAACAAAACTGTACACATTACTCAAAATGTCTCACAAAGCCTTGTATATCTGCATGAAACTTCCTTATTCCTCTATGTCAGCCCTCTTGCAATCTGTTTCTAAACTGCTTACTATTTCAATCTACCATTGAGTGTCAGTTAGCTCAGTTGGCTGGACAGTTGATTAACTGTGCAAAGCAGCACTAATTCCCATGTTAGCTGAGGTTGCCATGAAGGGCACTCCTTCTCAATTTCTCCCCTCGCCTGAGGTATGGTAACACTCAGGTTAAACCACCACCAGTTGTCTCTCCCTAATCAGAAAGCAGTTCTGTGACCTGGTAGGGCGATGGTGATCCTTTAGGAGCTCATTCTATTTTCTCCCTCTTTATCAACTTCTTGGTCATTCTTTTTGATTTTTAAAACCATCACCAGTCTCCTGCCTACAACTTTATCTAACAACATTGTGAACATCTATCTTTAATCTAATATTATCTTAAAATTCTCTCGTAAGCCACTTTTCCAGTGGGGTATTTACTGCTTAAGGGAATGTATATTCTCTTAGAAATCTGAATTATTTCTTTAAATGATTGCCATTACTTTTCTATCATCATAGCTTTTAAATTGTGCACATCAGTCTACCTGAGCCCTTATACTTATGTAATAGGCCTTATATTTACAAATTTAGGATTGGATTTAACACACAACTCTCAAATGCAACATGAAATTCTATCAGATTATGAATTGCCTATCTCAGAGGATCTCTTATGATAAGATCACAATTTCATCCTGTCTTATTGCACAATAGTTTCATTATGCAAGAATACTCAAATCTCACTGCTTCATTAAGCATTCTATAGAGCTGTACTTCTTAGATTATCCAAATGAAGTAAAATGCTGGAGGTTATGACGAATTTGCAAATTGAGGTTATGTCAAGTTTGCAAACTGAGTGCAAACAACAGCCTCTTTATTTTGTTATTAACATTGGTAAACTTTGGAAATAATGTCATGATAAAAGGACACAGACGCTGGTGAGGACAGATCCCAGAAATTCCAAATGGCTTGCTTCTCCAGCAGATGGGCTATTAGGCAGGAGTGCGACTCCTTTTCTGCACTCACCCAAAATCTTCAGGTTTTCACAGGATCAAGAGGCTGTGCCTTAGAGACATGCAGCTTGTGGGAGTAGCTCATATGTTACTCCAGTGGGGATGAAAAAACATTTGGGCCAGTGTCGTCCAAATGTCAAGTGGTAACTTTTTACTCAGTTCCTGGTCCCATCCTGGTGTTATGTTCTCTAAATGGCAATAAGGATCTCTGATATCATGACGCCTACATCAGGAAAACTTGCAGAATTTCCTAGGAAACCTAACGTCCACCAGGGTCATCTCCAAAATGACAAAATAAATGAAGTGAGGGTTCATAGCCCTCTTTCAGGTTTACCCCTTGAGGCTAGAAAGGAACACAATGCCTGTAGTAAAACATTGTGTCCCTATTTCCTCAATGCTTGCGCAAGTTACATTAATTCTGTTCACAAAACTAGACGGAGTCAGATATCAAATTTTCTTTCAAACAAAATTCTCAGTTGAACAGATGATCAATATTTTACTCAATATTCTCCTGGTTTCTCCTACCATTGGACTTTCCAGTTTCTGTATCATTAGTGCAGAAAGTGTCACGACCTCAGTGATATTCCAAAGACTGATGTCCGTCACATTAAACACAGTCGATATGTTCCCCAGCAGTTGAATCTGGCTTTCTGGTAGCCCATTGGGGTATATCTGTTTCAGGAAATACAAAATAATACATTTCAGCAATTGAATGAGAGAAGTCCTAAAAAAGTAAAACTTAATTATTTTTGTTGCACTTATAAAACTCTGTTGTCAGATTGACTCAATATCTGTTTGTTACACTGTTTGTATTCTATCTTGACAAATGAAACTGAAACAAATATGTAAGAGATGGTGGATTTTGGTTGAAATATTTACTGAGGCACACAACCTAAATAACAAGTGTGCATTAAAATATTTAATTCAGTGTAAGTTCATACATAATGATAAACAAAATAAAGACAAATTCTGCCAAGGAAGATAGTAGAATTTGATTCAACACAAATCCGGAATTAAGAGTCTAATGATGACTGTGCATCCATTGTCATTTGTCAGAAAAGCCCATCTGGTTCACCAATGTCCTTTAGGGAAGGAAACTGCCATCCTTACCTGGTCTTGTCTACATGTGACTCCAGACCCACAGAAATGTGGTTGATTCGTAAATGTTCTCGTGGCAATTAGGGATGGGCAATTATTGCTGGCCCAGCCAGCAATCCCCTTGTCCCATGAATTAATAAAAAAAATTAAAGAGAGTGGAAACAAGGGAGAAACAAAAGAGACAGAATGAAAATGTAAAATATGTAATTATTAATGTAAAAATGTTTCCACAGACAGAAATGAAATGTGAACCTTAATCTTTTATATAAATAATACAGGCTGGGAAACAAACAAAGAAAGCATAGGTGACATCCTGCAATGTATTGATAAAAATGCGATATTCGATTAAGTGAGGAATAGGGACAAATGCAGGTAACTTTACAGAAGTTTTGGAAACATAAACTGGATTGACAAAACAGGCAAGTACAGGGTTGAACATTACACCACAGCTTTGAAATTCTACGCTATGTCTGAGTGAGCAGAAAGATGAAGTTGAGGCTGGCTCTTTACATAATTGCTTCCACTTTGCAGATTTTAAAGTGGAAGGAAGTTTAGTTGGTAGAAGTCTTAATGTTAGAGAGGGAGCTCGAGATCATGGCAGCAGCTGTCAAGTTAACAGAGGAAGTGGAAAGACAGAATTGGATGCCATCAGACTTAATACAAGATTCGAGAGAGCAATTCTAAACGGGAAACACAAACAGCACACCAGATAGAATAATGGGGACTGTGTGGGCTGAGTAGAGAAAATGATAAATGGTGCAACAGATTGCAGTGAGATAACAGACAGCGAAGCTTAATGGATGCTCTGAAGAAAATAAACATTTAAAGAGGATAGTAATTGACAAACCGACCAGCTAGTTTCTGCCTCTGCCAGAATACTGAAAAGCCATTACCAAAGTCAAAAATTACATTCTATGTGACAGTCATCGTTGTTCTTCTTCAACTGGGTCCTTAGCATAGTTAACCATACCATCCTCCACTTAATTCCCCACCATTATCCAACTGGATGGGACTGCCTTCATCCCAAATATTCCTATTTATTAAATTGTAAATAATCACTTGCAATGGTTTCTCTTTCCATTCTTCTCCATTGCTACCTCTGGATTCCTCTGAAACCTATACTGCCCCCTCTTCTATTTCTCACCCAAATACACCTCCCAAGGTGACATAATCTGAAAACATATCACATTCCACAGCGCTGACAACACCCAACTGTACCTCAGATCCATTTTCTACATTTTCCAATTGCATCTAAATTGTCAGACTGCTTTTCTGACATCCAGCAGTGGATGACTAGAAAATTACTTCCGATTAAATATTGGAAAAACTGAAAGCAAACTGTCATTTGTATCCACACAAACTCTGTTCCCAAATCCCCAAAATAATGCTGCTAACTGGCCATTGTTTGAGATTGAACCGAAGTATTTGTAACCTTGGCATCCTATAGACCCTGAGCTTCACTTCTAATCCTCTCCATCATCAAGCCCATCTACTTCAAACACCAGAACATTGCTTTGGCAGTGCCTCTAGACTTGATTATTCCAATATTCTCTGTGTGGTTACCATCTTGACTCACCATGAACTTCAGTTCATCTAAGACTCTGCTGTCAGCACCAGAATTCGCTTCAAGTCATCTTTACCCATCACCCTATGCTCACTGACCTATAATGACTCTTGTTCAAACAATGCCTCAACTTACAAATCATCGTTCTTGCCTTCAGCTTCGTGGCTCTTACCTCCATGGTCTCAGTTAATACAATTAGGGGTCAGACTTAATACAGGAGACACTTAAAAGATGAATGGAGGTTTCCATTCCATTTTAGCCCTCACCATATAATTTAACCATTTCACATGAACCTTTTCAACAATTTTTTAAAATTTTAAATCAGTCCTTTTACCTTATAAAGTATGAATTCACCATGATTTATAACAAAGATTACGTTCACTTTGCTGTGAAAGTGCCACACCACACTTGTTACCTGTATTAGTCTCTTTTTCAGAATCTCCAGCTGAGTAGGATTAAAGGCAAGAGCTCCCAATTGGAGCACATTGTCTTTCAGCACACGGTCACTCAAACAGAGGTCCAACTTGGTTGTATCATAGATTGCAGGGGTCAGATCATCAATGGCCTCTGCTGCTAATTTTGTACAGTCTGCAAGTATAAAGATACGGCATTTCAGTTTGCTGATTAAACGTAATACTCAACAAAGCTATTTCCAACAGCGTTATTGCTCAGTGAACAAATTGTTGACAAAATACAAAAGAAAAAAAGTCTTGCATTTATAGTGCTTTTCATGGCCTCAAGACATCCCAAACACTTTATGGTCAATGAATTATTTTTGATGTATGCTGTAATGTAGGAAACACAGCAAAACTCCCATAACAGACATGTGTCAATGACTAATCATTATTGTTTCCCCAGATGTTGATTGAAGAGTAAGTATTGGTCAAGACAGCGAGGATAACTCCCTGCTCTTTTTCAAAATATTGTCATGGGATCATTTAAGGCCACATAAGGGGTTAGATGCAACATTGTTTTGTCATCTGGACCGAACGTCATAGGGCTACGATGCCAATATTGAATCATGAAACAAATGCAAAATCTTTCCTCCTAATCTGCACACATGTTAATGTGGGTTTTTGCAAACAGTAGAAGAGTTATGCTGGTCACCACCGATCTTAAAGAAAGCTGTTCACAAAGATCTATTGAGCATTGCAGTGTACAGTTAACCTTTCCCAACATTTTTGAGTTGGATGATCAACCATGATCGTGATGAATGGCAGAGCAGGCTCAAAGGGCCAAATGGCCTCCTCCTGCTCCTATCTTCTATGTTTCTATTAACATAATTCTGGCACCAACTATAGGGAATCTCTGGTGACTAGTAACAGTAATACAATATGACAGGGTAAGAAAACAATACTGCAGACAGCTCACTGGCATGTGTCATTCACCTTCTGTAATATTACAGTAAGTTGGCATATCTTAAACAAACTTCTAATAAAAATGATGATCATTATTATAAAAGGCAGAGTGAATTTTCATCATAGAATGGAGAAATCTAACATTCCACAAATGACAAAAATGTAGCTATTCAGAAGTAAGGACATTTTTCAGCATTGGTTATGACTTTGTACAGAATTGAAAATAAAACTGTATTTCACTTAACAAGACATAACAGTTTCAACGTGTTTTGCAGTGGGACTAACAATAAGTTCACATTAAGTCAGTAATTTCTGATTAATTTCTATCTGTAACAACTTCAACAGCATACCTTTTGGAGGAGCAAGGAATCATTGATAACAACTTAGATCCCTGCATTTAACCACACACGTGAGGACAGCAGAAGATATTGCAAGGTTCACAGTGTAATGTTGACAGTTTCATCATGAACACCACCGCAAAATTCAGGCCATTGATAACAATCCATCCAATGTAACACGGTTTAGCACAAAGTCCATGAAACGTAAGTAGCCAACTAAATTATATCAGGCAATTTACAGTTATAGATTCACACACAGCAACAAAGAGGGCCATTCAGCATATCAATTTTACATCATCTGTCTTGGAGGAACTCAGTCAGTACCATTTCCTTGTTCTACCCCTATAACCTTGCAAGTTTAATGCTTTCAAACGCTCATCCAAATTCTTTCCAAAATCACCGATCATTTTTCCTTCACCACCTTCCAGCATTCCAAGCAGGAGGTCATTACATTCTATTTTACCTGTCCCCACCTCTTTCCCAAAGCCTTCAATTTGTCTGCCCTAGCCCTTCCACCGACAACTAATGGGAATAGGTGTTCCATGTCTACGTTATCCAAACTTATCCCAAGGTTGAAACCTCTTCTCAGACTTTTTGAGCATGGGAAGATAGCCATATTTCCAAAGGCCTCAAGATTAAAGGTAGAACATTTTCCTATTCTCAAAATAAATTCTTATTCCATACAGTTAGTATACTGTTGGATTCGCAAAGCACTCTGCCAGACTAATGTTTGCTCATGGACTTAAAATTGACAGCATGGAAATATTTGCTCCACATGCGTGTTTAGCCTCTACATGCATAACACTATTTTGTCAATCACTCTTGAATCCAAGGACTGGTTACGTACTTGCTATGTTGTCTGAATCTCTTCTTAGGTTGAGCTGATTTATAAATATAAGCATTTCACTGGGTGGTGTGAACATCTTCACTTTCTTGATGAATCTTGGGAGAGCTTGTTTAAGGACGTCCTGCACAGAGCACAATAATTGAAAAATGTTCCAGAATTAATACCTAGTCATAGGTATGTCCCAATTAACGACTGATGCAATTTGCTAGGAACCTCAATGAGAATTGTATCCCAAGGTAATGAGTTACTGTTACACAGCTGTCTTATCCTGCTACATATGAAACCAATATCACAAGCTTGTGGGGGGAAGCAGCAGTGGTGTGCAGAGGGTTCTCACTGAAGGAATCATGCCAAATGCGGTACTTTCTAGCAAATACACATTCCTGCATAAGCCTTTGCATCAAGCACAGCTTCATACAGAAACCAGCAGATCTTTTATCTCCAAATGGTAAACTGCCTGTAGGTACCAGTTTGCCATGGATATTGAAATGAGAGTCAAGATAAGAAATACCATGGACTTCTCAAAGTTGACACTATTTTGCCATACATGGCATGTTTAATATTTAGCCAAAATTACTGCTTTTCAGTAAGCTGAACCTTTAACAGATTATGTATGTTGACACTACGTACTGACAGGGAACTCCAAACACTGGAGTTACCAGGCTTCATCCTTCTTAGCTAATGCAGCTTTTATTGTCAAGTTCAAATTAACCATCCCCCTAAGGCTCAGATATGGCCTGGGATGAGGATAGTGACTGGACTTCTTAACATGTGCTACAGACCTCAAGGGAGACTTAATGTTACTTCAGGAGAAAGGAAATCTGTATGCAGGCCATGTTGTTCAGCCTTTTTCCTGGGTGGGAGGAGGGATCAGAGTACTGTTGGCTAGAGGTGGGGAGTGACAGTTTGCAGGCTTATCTGCCCATGACTTAGGTGAAGCTGACCCAGTCTCAAGGACCTGTGGGTCAGTGGAAGAGTGAAGGTGGATGACAGTCATCCTAAGATGTGTCAATGCACAGATCTCCCATAAAATAAAACCAGGATCTGCAGATGCTGGAAATCTGAAACAAAGACAGAAAGTTCTGGAGAAACCCAGCAGATCTGGCAGCGGCTGTGAGGAGAAAACAGAGCTAACGTTTTAAGTCCAGTAACCCTTGTTCAGAAGTCCAGCAATTTTTGTTTTTGTTATAGATTCCCCACAATCATTTCTGTCTATGGGAGAGGCCGAGAACATATTTTATAGTGGGTGAGGTGGATTAATCTGTAAGTCATTAATGATTGATAGCTCTGCTATTTCTGTAACATGGTTTTTCCAGTTTGCTTGCATTACGGTTCATGTTTCAGATAATGTGAAATGCGAATCTATTTATGAAAATCATTTTTAGCAGTGAATAGAAATAATAGTATTACCAAAATCAAACTGTAACATTATAACATGTGAGGAAACAAGTCCAAATCAAGATTTACTGTACATGATCTTAATGTTTTCCTGGTCACTATGTAAAACATTGTAAATTTATTTGTGAAAAATCTTTGGGAATTAACCTCCTCCATACAATTTTCAAGAAAGAGCGAGAAGTCAACATTTTCCCGAACATATTTAAATTACAACAGGAAAGGAAGAGTCTTACCCTTAAAGTGTTTTTAAAAACAGTTTGAAAACACTGAAAATAGATTTATATTTTTCCAAACCTCTTTTACTCATGGTTCAGCTTTATCATAATGCTTCATGCACACAAATCAAAAAGATCTTTCAAATAAAGCCAAAATATAGTTTGACGTTGGAGATATGAAATAAAACAAAATGCTGGAGAAGCTCAGCAGGTCTGGCAGTATCTGTGGAGATGGAAAAACAGAGTTAATGTTTCAAGTCCAGAATGACTTCTTCAGAACTCTGAAACACTTCAATTCTGAAAAAGACTTGAAATATTAACTCTGCTTCTCTGACCACAAATGTTGCAGACCTGCTGAGTTTCTCCAATACCTTCTGTTCTTATTCCAGATAAAGTATTTTTCTGATATTAGAATATTGTTCAATAAGAAGCTAACAATGCATATTCATATGCATGAATTAGTATTGTTTTCAGTTAATTTTGTGTGAACAGCTGCAAAAATAGTCCCTATAAAGCATCAAAAATGACTCAAGGCATTTGAGATGAAAGGAAATCAGAAACTGAGGCAAATGAGAGATCAGAAGAAAGGTTCAGTAAAATGGGCTTTATAGACTCATGAATTTAACTTAGGACTTGATTTTCAATGACTACAGCATACCCTGTTTACTTGACTCCATGTGTCAGTCAAGGCTAAAGGAAGATTTCCAAGATCTTTGACTGTAGATGATGACCAAGATGAAGGAGTGCTGCAGACAAACAAAAGCTGAATTAGAGAACACATTTCTATTGGTGGCAGTTTCATTACGAATGCCTGGTGGAGATTTCTACCATAAAAATGGCTCCCTGCAGAAATGTTCTTGAAATTATTCCTTCAGAATTGCAACAGTGCTCTGACCCATTTGAAATGACCACAGTACTGCCTCCAATGGCCATCCAACCTACAAATTAAGTTAGTGCAAAGTGATCACCAGTTGGCATTGGCCAGGAATTACTGAGAACCTATGTCATCCTGTATTTTTGCTCTGTAAATAGTGTGGTATAAAAATTATGCCCATATTCCACTCTTGCCATTTGTAATGTTATTTGAGACAATTAAGGAGGAAAAATTGAATCTTCCGTTCCATAGCACGCAACTGAAGGATGAAGGGAAAGAAATTCAAATTAATTTCAGAGATAGCAAGAACTGCAGATGCTGGAGTCAGAGATAACACAGTATGGAGCTGGAGGAACGCAGCAGGTCAGACAGCATCTGAGGAGCAGGAAAGTCAATATTTCGGGTCAGGACCCTGTTCTTCAGTTCTGAAGAAGGGTCCCGACCAAAACAAAGTATTCAGGTTACACATATCCAATTTTCCCTAGGCATAGAGTAAAGCAACCACTGGAGGTCAATCAAAAAATCTTCAATAAATTCCACTTAAAGCCAAATTTCTGTTTAAGTAGGAGCTCCTTATACACTCCACAAAACAACTGCAGGCTACTACTGGTCTCATCTTGCTCCTGCACTATTTTATTCTCGTATCTGCCTTTCACCCACCCCTACCAGTAGATCTTTCTCCATTGCGACCAAAATAATTCATCAGGCCATGATCAGTGAGCTGCATTGGGATCATTTGGCACACAAGCTCAATTCCAATGAAGTCTGATACACAGCTACCCATATTGATGCTAGCCAGCACATACCAGGGCAATTAATCCTCTGCTTAATTGCCCGCTTTGAGGGAAAGGCCAATTTCTGGTCAATGCAGTTTCAAACTCACCCATAGATGCTGGTTCCACCTTGAAGCAGAGTTTCAATGGCTCTCTTCTGATCCTCTCCATACGAGGTACAAGTCTTCAATGCCTCCAAGATGGAAAGATCAGATTCTTTGATGACTGAACCCTCAAGGTCACACACCAAACCTCCCAGTACTGCAATATTCTCCTTGGTCAGATTTCTGCTATTAATTCCCTGCAGTTGAATCAAGAAAATAGTATTAATCCATTGGTGGATAAACATTTCTTTCCACACAAATGCAACTGAATTTTATACCGCTAATGAGGACAATATTTGTACGAAATAAAAAGTCCATCATTCATCGACGTTAAAAATATTACAGAAAGCTCCATTTTGCAGAGTCAGGAAATCACGTTTGCTCGGTTACCATTGAAATCCAACAATCAAGGTACGTTTCAGTTTTGAAATGACCTATTTTAGGAGTTGGACATAGGGTTTAGTTAAGGGTCAGGGTTCTAACAGAAAATGAATTGAAACATGGGATTGTATGACTTAGTTTTAACACCAGTCGAGATGGTAGCTAGGTAATTCTCAGATAAATTCTCCATCTTAATTCAATGCACAGAGATTGATGCACAGTGACAAAACTCAGCTCTTGTCAAGTTCTAACAAGAAATGGGATGGAAGGTGCACACTTTGCTTAAATAACCTATTGGGCAAATTGTTCTTTTCTCAGAAAGCCAAAATTGTTTTCCTCACATCCAGAAGAGAGAGCAAGAGAGAGAGAGGGATAAAACGCATCTGTGTATATTTGTGGGCGTATTTAGAACAAAGTGCATTCATATACTGAGATAACAAGACTTAGAGCTGGATGAAGCAGCGTTTCGGGCCTAGGAAGAAGGGTCTAGGCCTGAAACGTCAGCCTTCCTGCTCCTCTGATGCTGCTTGGCCTGCTGTGTTCATCCAGCTCTACACCTTGTTATCTCAGATTCTCCAGCATCTGCAGCTCCTACTATCTCTGCATTCATATACTACTGACTGTGTAGGTTAACCACTTATTCCATCTTAAGTGACTAAGATTGTTTTGTTAATCAACTAATACTTGCCTTTATTAGAAAACTTAGCTCCCATATGTTGTCCTTTAAAACTGGATATAAGATCATAAGATGTTGGAGCAGAAGAAAAAAATTAACCGAAACCCAACTGATTACCTCTCACCTCCCAGTAAATTCAGAGTTAAAACCAGGGTCTAGGAAAGCTGATGTAATTGAGTTAACAGCACAAGTCTTGACCTTGGATGAAGAGCAATGTTGACCAAATGGTGAATCGATGGAGTTAGCCAGAATTTTTCACTGAAGATGAAGCAGCTTGAACCAGAAGAATTTGAACCCAAGAAAGAAGAGCTCCAATCAGCAAAAACAAGATTGAGACGGAACATTCCAGAGGGAGCAAAAAGAAAAGGAAACGTCACTTCAGGGAGAGAAGAAAAATGAAATAGAATTTATGAAGTTAGAGCTAGAATTTAAAGCAAGGGAAAAAGATCACAGAATCCCTGCAGTGTGGGAGCAGGCCATTTGGGGATGTTGACTAATGATTGCACAAAGTTCAGCACCATTCACAACTCCTCAGGTACTGAAGGAGTCCATTTCCTTATGTAGCAATACCTTGACAATATCCAGGCTTGGACTGATAAATAGCAAGTAACGTTCACTCCACACAAGTGCCAGACAATGACCATCCACCTTTGATGTTCAATGGCATTAACAGTGCTAAATCCCCCACTATCTACATAGAGGCGGTTAACACCGACCCCAGAAACTGAATGGAACTAGTCATTATAAACACAGTGGCTACAAGGGCAGGTCTGAGATTAAGAACTCTGCAGTGATTAACTCACTTCCTAACTTTCAAAAGCCTAAGTTACTATCCACAAGACAGGAGTGTAATGGAATACTCTCCATTTTCCCCAATGAGTATAACTCCAACAATACCTGAGACGCTCAATACAACCCGGACAATATAGCATTCCAACTGTTACCATCAATATTCACTCACTCCATCACAGGACACAACATCAGCAGTGTGTGCCATGCACTGCTATCACTAGTGAAGGTTCTTTCGATAACACCTTCCAAAGCTGCAAGTTCTACCACATAACGGACAAGATCAGTGAATGCATGGGAGTGCAGCTGCTCGCAAGTTCCTCTCCAAGCCATACTCCATTATTAGAACGTAAGAGCTAGGAGCAGGAGTCGGCAATCAGCCCCTTGAGTCTCCTCTGCCATTTAGTACAATCATGACTGATTTATCTCAGTCTCAACTCCACTTCCCTGCCAGCTTCCCATAGCCCTTTAATCCATTACTAATTATAAATGTCTACCACCTCTACTTAAATCTATTCATCCTCCCCACTCTAGTGTAGTGAATTCTACAAATTCACGACACTTTTAGAAAAGTAATTCCTTCTCAATTCTGTCCTAAATCTGTCTCCTCTTCACCTAAAATGATGACCTGTGACATCCTGACAGGGAATTATAGTACTGTTACTTCACTGCCAGAAGGTCAAAATCTTGGAACTCTCTTCCTAACAGCACTGTGGGTGTATTTATCCTCCATCAGCAGTTCACGAAGATGGTTCACCACCACCTTTTCAATTAGGGAAGGGCACTAAATGCTGGCCTGGTCATGTCCTGTAATATCACAATAATAGCAGTTTGCAATTAACGGAAGGAGTGAGACTATTGTCCATCAGTCATCCAGAATATGGATACTATCACTCCCTAGTTGTACCTTCAGAGCACATTTTCCTTACCAAACAGATTTTGGCATCTTCCAACAGATTTTGTCTTCTTAACGATCCTTTCGGTAAGAGACGAAAGTTTGATTTTCCAACACCTTTGAAGAATGACTCGCAGTTTTGAGATGTTCTGAAGTTCTTAGAGCTTCAATGTGAAAAATATGAATTACATTGATTGTATGTAATGAAAACTTTTTTTTAATTGCTAGCAATAGTCAGAACATTACTTTCTGTCAGAATAAGAGGGTGTCGATTTAAATTTTTGAAAATTAATGTTTTAGAAAAAAAAAACTTGCATATTCATAATGACAGGTACATATGTATATAGGAACAACTGTAGACTGCTCAGCAAATTCTACCATCAAGAAAATCTTGACTAATCTGTGAAATAACTTAATATGCACACTTTTGTTCTATTTCCTTTGATTTTTGATTGACAAAAAATTATAAATCTCAGATCTAAAACTGATGTAGCATCAACTGTCATTTTCAGAAGAGAGATCTCAATCTCTACAGACATTTGTATAAAACGGGCTTCCTAATTTTGGTTCTGGAAGTCCTGATTGATCATTTTGACTGTGTTCGCCCTACTCCTCAGCTCTCAGGCCTGCGTAAATAGCGCAAATTTCCATATCCCCATTTGAACCTTCTGAAAACTTGATTTCCCCGTTTGTATCTTGAAAATTATCTCTGTGTACCGTCTCTGCAGCTGTCACATTGTATTCCTCACTCTGTTCTATTACCCTAATGCATTTTGTATGCTATGAACTGCTGGTATTGCTCACAAAACAAAACTTTTCACTGTATCTAGATGCATGTGGCAATAATAAATCAAAATCAAAATTAAATCACCCCTAATCTTTTGAATTCCATGTAATAAACCCTAGTTTGTTTAATATCTCCTTGTAGCTTAGACCTTGGAGTCTAGGTGTCATTCTAAATGTCATTCAAATCTTCCCTGCTGTCCCTCCATGTCCAATATATCCTCTCTCCAGTATTTTAGCTATCATTTTAAAATGAAATCTGTCAGGCAAGAGCTAACCTTTAGAAATCCACATTAACTGAAAAATTTAATGTATTGGTCGTGCTCTTGATTATAGGTGCAAGCCATTTCCTGATGACAGATAAAAGATAACTTGTCCCTAATTGCCTGGTTTCCCTCCAGAAAATAGGGGGACATGGACAATTTTTAAATCTAAGGAACGGTTACTTAATTAAGAAAATTTTGCAGAATTATAATTCCCACATATTGCATTCTATCTATATAACCTGGTTTTCCATGTTTACTCTATCTAGTTTGCAAGACTTTATTCTTTTTCCACACGTTAACTTGCATAACATAGTGGACCAAAATTTTAAGACATACTCCTCAAGCTTCCACGACAATTATTTCAAAGTTAAGATTAGTAACAAGCCAAGGTAAGAGAATCAGATTGCAAACAGTGTAACCTTGACAAGCCTTTCTCCTCCTGGAGACTTACTTAAAATAAAGCAGAACATCCACAGGCAACTTGTCTTTGTCTGGCACTTTTCCTTTCGAAGTTAGTCGAAAAAACATGCAACTGAGCTGTAAAACAAAATAGGAAATTAATAGTTACCAAAAAAACCAGTACCGACCATCTAGACTATCCAACATTGACCCAACAATCTAAGTGTGACTTGCACCTTCTCCTTATTAGATGGAAACCAATAACTAGAATTTTGGCTTCTTAAATCCTAACTTACACGTAGTGCTGTTTCAAATGCTTTGAATGGTAACGTCAAGAATCAGAGCATTAACAGTGCAACATAGGTACCTGCGCAGTGATACTAGAAAGATTTATCAAATTACAGTTGATCTATTCAAAGCATTATAACATTTATCAACAAGAGTAGGGCTTGTAAACAAAAACAAGTTGTACTATTAAAAAAAAACATAACTTCACTTTAGGTCATAGAGTCATAGAGACACACAGCATGGAAAGGGACCCTTTGGTCCAACTAGTCCACACCAACCGTGTTCCTAAAATAAACTAGTCCCACGTGCCCGCATTTAGCCCATATCCCTCCAAACCTTTCCTATGCATGTACCTGTCCATGTTTTAAATGTTGTAATTGTACCCGAATCCACTATCTCTTCTGGCATTTCATTCCATACATGAACCTCTGTGTAAAAAACGTTGCCCCTCTTGTCCTTTTTAAAACTTACCCCTATCACCTTAAAAATATGCTCCTTAGTTTTGAAGTCCTCCACTTTAGGGAAAAGACCCTTGCTATTCACCTTATCTATGCCCCTCAGAATTTTATAAACCTCTATAAGGTCACCCTTCAATTTCCTAGGGTCCAACCTATCCAGCCAATTTTTATAACTCAAACCCTCACCTGAGCATAGTTTCCATTTAGTTATCACTAAATTCCAAGACATAGGTGAAGCTGGAGCCCTTAATTGTGATGAACAGACCTTCCCACGTACACCAGTATTTACTGCACTACCAGAAATGCTGGCAATGCTGAATATGCCCATTAGTACTTTAATGAGAGTGGACACACCATCTGACATATTACTTGCAGTCAAAGTCTTAGCAACACTTTTAATTTCCATAATGTACTGGAGGGTTTGGGTGCACAGGAAATGTTAATCACCCACTTTTTTCCAAAAATGTAAAAAGAATGTTCTTGGGGACAGAAAGTAACGAGGTCAATATTTGAATGTTGAGTAAAAGAATATGGGTGTTTGGAACATCCAGTGCTGGCCAGACTTACCAAGTTGAATATTGCTAACATGTACTGTCTCAATCATGTGCTGCACACACCTCTGTATTTTCATTATCTCCACCCATCCAGTTTCCAGAGAAAAAAAATTTGCAAGAGAAGGTAATATGACCCATCAAACCTGCCACTTAATTCATAATGAACATGATTAATCGTCTAATTTAATTCCACTTGCCTGGTCTATCCCCAGATCTGTCAAGCATCTCACTTTGACAGTTAATTTTTACTCTGAAGTCAACTCGAAGTTAACAGTCAATGAATACAGTTAAGCTTTCTTCCCAATAGGATTTTTATGAATGACCTCACCTGACTTTCATCAAGCATAGCCCCCTTCCCCTTCATTGCTTGAACAAGCTGAAGAAAATTTGTAAAATTCAGATCTTTGACTGCACCACAACTGAAACCTTGCAGAACTGAAGGTGAGAATCTGGAACAGACAAAAACATTGTCAACCCATTTGAATATTTCACTTCCTTCATACAGGAATTAGCTTGTTTGGCTTTACAGCTTCTGCACTCGAAGTTCATGATTGAAGCAGCTATTGTGAGATTGCACATTTACAGACTTTTTAAAAATTTATTCAGGAGATGTGGGCTTCGCCGACTGAGCCAGCGTTCACTGATCATCCCTTGTTGCCGTAAGAAGGTGATGGTGAGCTGCCTTCTCGAACCACTGCAGTCTGTCTGGTGTAAGTAGACCCACAATGACGTTAGAGCTGGAATTCCAGGATTTTGGTCCAGTGACACTGACGGAATGATAACATATACTCAAGTCCAGATAGTGGGTGCTTTGGAGGGGAACTTTTAGGTGGTGATATTCCCATTGCCCTATCCGTCTGGATGGTGGTGGTCATAGGCATGGAAGGTGCTGTCTGAGAAACTTTGGTGAATTTCTGTAGCGCATATTGTAGATGGTGCACACTGCTGCCACTGTGCATTAGTGGTGAAGGGAATGGATGTTTTTGTACTGGTGCTAATCCAGCAGCTGCTTTTTCCTGGACGGTGTCAAGCTTCTGAACAGTTATTGGAGCTACACCCATCCAGGGAAGTGAAGATTCTTCCATCACACTCCTGACTTGTGCTTTGTGGATGATGGTCAGGAGTCAATCGAGTTCCTTACTGCAAGATTCCTAACCTCTGAGCTGCTCTTGTAGCCACTGTATTTATATGGCTAGTCCAGTCAATTTCTGGTGGATGGTAACCCCCAGAAGGTTCATAGTGGACAATTCAGCAATGGTAACACCATTGAATGCCAAGGGGCAATTCTTTTTTTCTGGAGATGGTCATTGCCTGGCATCTGTGTGTTACACAAGTTAATTGCCACTTGCCAGCTTAAGCCTGCATTTGGGCATGGACTATTTCAGTGGTCTCAGTATTTTCACTATATAGACTTCACACCACTTTCTCTTTTTATGCCATATTACATACAATTACATAGACAAACAACACAGAGACATATTTCTTTTGGCCAAACTAATCAATGTTGATATTAATAATAATGCACAAGTCTTTTCCCATTCCATCCAACTTGCAATCTCTCTCTCTATTCGATTTTCTTTCACATACTTGTCTAACTCCCTTTAGAAATACCTAAAGCAGGATTTGTCAAACTGTGAGTCAGAACCTGCACTGGGATGACCAGCCAATTATTTTGAGGGTTGCAAACTCTGAGGCAGCAATGGCTACAATTGACCTTTGGGCTAATGCTAACAGATGCACAGTCCCTTTAAAATCTCGCAACTATTTTTTAAAACTGTTAACGTGGAAGAACCAAGTGGATGAAACATCTCTTGCACTGCCATGCTCAAATGACTCTACGCCTCCTCACTTCCTTCGCTCTCACAGTTCTGGGGTATCAGCAAATTACAAGCAACAAAAGAGGTCACAATCTAAAACAGTTTGTGAAATACTAACCTGGCTCAGTGGTTAGCACTGCTGCCTCAAAGCACCAGGGACCTGGGTTCAATTCTACCCTTGGGTGACTGTCTTGTGTGGAGCTTGTACATTCTCCTGGTATCTGTGTGGGGCAGGTCAGGTGGATTGGCCATGCTCGATTGCCCATAGTGTCCAGGGATGTGTAGGCTAGGCAGATGTAGGGTTACAGACATAGGGTAGGAAGGTGGGTATGGGTGGAAAGCTCTTTGGAAGGTTGGTGTGGACTCAGTGGCCTGCTCCTACACTGTATGGATTATATGATTCCATTTATTGCAACCACTTCTCATTGAGGGTGCTAATTTCTAACAGATATGGATAAAGAAATTTTCTATATTAGATTTATTATTGACAATGATGGACTTAAGGCCTCTCATTTTGTATTTGCCCAAAAATAAAAACATTCTTTCTGTATCTAGCCTGTCCAATCTATTCAAAACGTAATAGTCCTCTATCAGGTTGCCTCCTTATCATTTATTTTTGAAAAGAAAAAAGCCCAACTACTTAAACGTTCCCGTAGTTTTAATTTCTCAGTTCTAATGCACTTTGAACATCCTTTTTTGTCCTTTTTCTAACACTTATAAGTCCTCCTTCATAGGTGGGAGATCAGAAATGTATGCTATTTAAATGTGGCCTGACCAGAGTCCCAAAAATGTAACATAAATATCTAATGAAAGAGAAAAAGAGTATAATTTATTTCACCTCAAAACTGTTGTCTTAAATGCTAGTTTCCCTGAGCAAACATCTCACCGTAACTTTGACATCTTTCTTAAAGTAAGGTGCCCAAACATTCTAATTGCAACCTAACCTATGATTTGTATAGATTTAGCATCATCTCTTTCTTTCTTGTACTCTTTACTCTTGTTTACACAGACTACAATTCCATAATGTTGGCTGACATGCAATCTATTATCATGTGCAAATATTACTCACGTGTCATAATCATTACTGCGTTTCACAACACTTTCAAAAAACACAGCAGCCTGAGGATAAAAGCATAGTAGAAAATATTAAAATGCTACTGATTAACTGCTTTAACATATTTTTGCATGCTGACTGCTAAAACAGCTTTGAGACGCAATTTCACTTGTTGATTAATTCCACGTTTTGAACATAGAACATCTATGTTACATAGATAAAGCCTGCAATGTCAATATCAAAGCATGTCAGCTATGAACATTGAAGCTCCTATGGTTCCAATACATTGGCAGGATCTGCTTCCAAAGTGGGTGATATAGAAAGCGGAAATGATTTTCTCAAAATTCTCCACTTGTCACATAAGTGAATGTAAATCCATGGGCAGTGCATTGAAGATTTTCCAATGAGTCATCTGCTGTGCTAACCTGGATCAGCGTCATCTCAGGCTAGGAAAGTATTGAATTAAATTCTCATTCCAGAGACCAGAACACAATCTAGACCAACACATCAGTGCAGCACTGATTGACCGCTGCGTTCTGTACGAGGGAAAGTTGTACTATCTGAAGGATAAATGTGAAATTAAACCAAGACTTTTTCTGTTCTCTAAGGTGGGCATAGAAGGTAGCACTATCTTGAAGAGGTGTGAATGTGTTTTCACTGATGTCCTGGCTAGTATTCAGGTCCCAGTCAACCAATTATCTGGTCATTATCTCATTAATGTTTACGGGACATTGCTGTGTGCAGTTTGCTTGTTGCATTTCCTATATGAAAGAAATGACCAAGCATGTCAAGAGTATTTAAGGTTTGGAAAAGAACTATATAAGTACACCGTTCTTCTGCTATCATTGTATTTATAGTCTTCTAATCTAACTTACGGCACTCTGGCTCAGTCTTATCTGCATTGGCTGAGCTTTAAAGCAAATTGTTTGAGAGGTGTGGGTGTCACTGGCAAGGCAGCATTTATTGCCAGTCCCTAATTGCCCTTGAGAAGGTGGTGGTGTCCTAAAACCACTTCAGTTGGAACACGGTGACAGACAGTGCTGTCACATAGGGAGTGCCAGGAATTTGCCCAAACAACACAAAGGGGGACAAAAACAAAAATTGCTGGAAAAGCTCAGCAAATCTGACAGCATCCGTGGAGAAATCAGAGTTAACGTTTCGGGTCGAGTGACCCTTCCTCAGAACTAAAGGGGGTTTATTTCCAAGCTAGATGGCGAGTGGCCTGGAAGCACACTTGCAGGTGATGTTCCCATGCAGTTGCTGCATTTGTCCTTCTAGATGGTAGAGGTCACAGGTTATGTTTTCCATTTGCCAGACCTCTGCCCACATGAATCATCATTTTAGCTCAATTTAGAAGTAAATACGTCCATGTATTTTCTTTATGTACTGCCCTTTCTACATTTAGTGTCTCTTAAATGTAGAATTCAACTCTGGTAGCTCCCATGCCATTATTTTCATCCTGGTTTTATGCACTAATATGGGGTTGGTAACTCATCATCTGGTCTTCCTCTCTTTACTACATCTTTGTGACTGTGCTGCAGGAATTGGTAAATTATTTTTAAGGAATTGACTGAATCTTTAAAATGCGCATAAAATTATCAAGTATTTTTTCCCCAAATAAGCATCATTTCACACTTCGAAAAGAATATAATAATTTACCTGACTGGGAGCCCATTGCTTGTCGTTGACGTCACTGAGGCCTAAGTTTGAGTTTAACAGGACAGGGGGGACCTCTTTGGCCAGAACAGATGGAATGTTCTTCACTGTTTGTACAGGGTCTTCCACATTCCGCAACACCTGAAAAACAAGGAAACAGAACAGAACTTAAATGCAAACCCACCACATCCTGTGAGCAACATCTGGAGGTAAAAACATTCTTGACACAAGAGCGTTAGCATTGGGAAAATATACACAGCAGTTAGAAGAAAATTAGATTTTACATCGATTCTGTTACATTTGACTATGCACTATGAGTCACTCACCTGCAGAACACATATCGATTGTAGAGGCTGTGGCGCTGCTCCAATATTCTCAACAAATGTTAAATTTGAGATTAAAGTGATGAAAATCCCAGGATTGATACCTTGGAACACATTGCTTGGAATACCAGACACCAAGGTTCCTAGCTTTAGCAAATTCTCTTTGTTATTGACCTAGTTTTTGAAAAAAAAAGGGACAAGTCAATTCAAAACTGCTCAGAAATACAGTGGACATTTTTTTTTAACATGTAATTCCAAGCATTTTTTTTTGAAAAAGAGGGCTGATAAAGCCAAAAATGGCTATGGATGCATGTAAATTAAGTCGCTGTCTAGAGAGAGAGAACCATGGATTTTCACACTGTGAGTGTGAAAGGAGCTTCAAACAACAGACCTTTAAATGAGGGCTGAGGAAAAGGTGAGTTAAATTAGATTGGACTGTGATATCTTGTTACTACAAAGTCAAGGAAGGGCTAGTGGATCCCTGCTCGAGAGCAAGGCACCCACTCGGGATTATGTTCCACACTGCTGACACACCGTATTTTTACCACTGAAGAATACATAAGGAAAAGGGTTAAAAAGCCAGTTTCAACTCTGCTGGAATGTACTATTGGGATAGAATACTCATGCCTAGGTTCAAGCATTCGTATGCTGTGACAGTTACAATTGAAGAACTATCCCCGAGTTAACCTTGTGTTGCAGGTAAAGACCTTTGCTAGCTCTGTCCTGCAAATTAGTTGCAAAGGAAACAATCTCTCCCAAATTGAATGTTGGAATTCAATCACAGTCGAAAGGAATCAGAACTACAGAATCTCAACTAATCTGAAGATTTAAGTATCAAGAAACCAAGTGGTTAACTTACCAATGTCAACTTTATCAGTAACCTCCACGGCAACAGCTACAACAGTAAACTATCTGCTCTTCGTGAACAAATCAAAGACTGATCGGTTTTTTTTAAATAAGCACTTTATCCTTTAGGACTCACCTCTTAGATCTAAGATGTGTGCGTATGTGTCATAGGATGCCTACAGTGTGGAAGCAGGCCATCAGTCCACACCAATCCTCTGAAGAGCATCCCATCTGAAGAGACCCAACCCCCTAACCTATCCTTGTATTTCCCATAGCTAGTCCATCTAGGCAATTTACCACATCCAATCCACCTAACCTGCATATCTTTGGACTATGGGAGGAGACCCACACTGACACAGGAAGAATATGCAAACTCCCCTCAAGACGGTCGTCTGAAGCTGGAATCGAACCTGGATCCCTGGCACTGTGAGGCAGCAGTGCTAACCACTGAACCACTGTGCTGATCTAATGTGCATGCGTTTTGGTAGTATTTCTTGTGTTCATAGAAATTAATAAACTCACTCTTTTTGTAATTCAAGAAAGCCTGGTTAAATTGGTTCCTTTTCTAAAGCAATGAGGCCACTTTGTCTGGGAGCAAGGTATCTACAAAGGAAGGAATCCTTTCTAATGTTGATGCAACCAACTGGGGGGGGTGGGCGAATAAAGAAGTGGAGGCAGTTCATTCGCCCTCACCAAGTGACCTTAGCAGTTTGGGGTATCCCATCTGGAGCCATAACAAATTGAGGAACCTCATCTGGGATCTTCTCAGAACACTAACCATTAGAACATGAAAGCATTCTGAACTTGAAGGAAGACAATAAGTAAGATCATCTGAATTGGGTGCGAGAGTTTAAGTCCAAAATAACAAGCGCTTTTTTTTCCCTGGTAGTCCCTATTTTAAATTAGATTCAGGACCGAAAGGTATTATTAGTCTTCAATTCACATTCTAGTTACACAATTAAATATCGGAAGAAATGGATTTAAAAGGCCTACTGCAAATACAAACAAGGGTATTGCCACAAACAAAATAAGACGACAACCAACATCAAGAAAGGTAATCCTGAGTCTCCAAATAGGTGCACAAAACAATGTCTAAAATTTCATCTCTTAGTCAAAGCTGTTGTAAAGCAGTGTTGGAATTAGGAACATAGTAACAGGAGTGGTGCATCCTACAATGTACTCCCTTAAAGCCAAAATATCCTGCTTAAGGTGTGGTGACCAGATTTGCCCATCCCAAGTGGAATCTAACCAGCATTTTGTATATCTGCAGCATAACTTCTGCATCCTTGTACTCCAGTCCAGTAGATACAGCGACCAGCATTCCATTAACTTTCTTAATTATTTTCTGTGCCTGTTCATGATGTTTTAAAGATCTATGCACCTGAACCATCAAGTCTTTTGGACATCCACTGTATTTAAATTCATACCATCTAGAAAGTACCCTGATCTATCCTTTTATTTGGTTCAAAATGGATAATGTCATACTTGTTCATATCAAACTCCATACGCTGCTGTTTTACCATTTTGCTTAGTCTACCAATCCCACTTTGTAATTATATGCTATCATCTGCAATGTCTGCATTGCGCTTAACTTTGTTTCATCAAATTACAAACTAATCTGCAGTTGGATGTTTTTGTAAATGAGGAACCAATGAGGTGTAGCCATTTATAAAATTGTCCCTTACATCCCTTTAAATTTTAGACATTGATACGAGGCAGGTACATACAACAATTAGTCAGCCTGGTTCCAGAATGAGAATATGCTCAAAGTTTCTGCAATCCATTCTTAAAAGCCCTACCCAATTGTCCTTTCCACTGAAGTGACAGCAAAGGAAAATCAGGCAAGGTGGCAGATCCAAATTCACCATTTTTATGCCATCACTCAAACTTAAAATTACTCCCAAGGCCTTACATCAAAGTGACAAGAAACAGATAGCATAATTATATCAGAATCATTATAATACAGTTATCTTCATTCACTTATTCAGCTCTTTATCCAAGCAATATATTATCTTGTGTTATTTTCAGCCATTACCTGGAAGCCGTTTTTAAGTAACTTAGTTACAATTGCTTTAGCCTGCCCCAGATTCCATCTTTTGACTTGACCCAGGGTTGGCAGAGCTTCCTGCAGAATGTTCGCTTCAATACCTCTAATCTGGGACAATGACAGCCCAAAAGCTGTTTGTCCCAAACTATTCAGAGTGATGACTGAGAAGTTGTTGAACTTGCTGACCAAGAAGATTGCGAGCTGAAAGAAAGGATAGCTAGCATTAAGACATGAAAGTCTTCCAAAACATATTCTGTGAATGGGCTAGCTATATTCATTTTATACTAGTGAACCTTCCATGACATTGGTCTTGATAAGTCAGAGAGTATACTGTTTTATAAGGGCATAAAAATATTGCAAATGTGAAGGATAATGTTTGAATGACAGTTTTTTTTCTAGGAACTCACTACTTGAAAGGGTAAAGGAGACAGAAACACCCAATTCATTCAAAAGATGCACTTCAAATGCTACAACTTGCATGGCTACAGACCAAATGCTGGAAAGTGGGATTAGATTGGGCAACTCGTCTTTCCCCAGCACAGACATGATGGGCCAAGAGACCTCTTTCTGTGCTGTTAACATCCTAAGAGACTATTCTAAAATCGTTGTACATTAATTACTGCTCACATTTCAGTTAGAAAGTCTGCACTTGTTTGATTGGTGATCAACTAATATTTTGGAGACCATGTTCGGTCTATAACCAATAAATTGAAGGTATTTTGCTGAAAACACTGAATGGTCAGATAACTTGAATTAAGTAACTGTAAATTAAGAGAAATAAAGGGGTCAGTTAGCTCATATGATTAGACAGTGATGTAGAATAATAGTGTGGGCTGTGATTATTAAAGGAGATCTGTCTCCTTGCCTTACACTCAACGTGGAATGCTGCCAGTCAAGCGATATGATAGCATGTCTCTCTAAAGAAAAATGATCCTATGGTTACTTGTGGACGATGGCTAATTACCCAACCAAATTAAGAGGAGTAGGTTTCAGTCTTGGAGGGTTGCTGTAATTCCCAAGAACCAAAAACTTGGTCACATTATAGCAGGAACTGGGCAACACCAAATCAACAGCCCATCTGACATCAGCACTGAAGTCAAGGAAATAGAAGACCAAGCAGAGAGTAAAGTGGTTTGCCAATTTATATTAGGCATTCTGCAACAATGTCAAAGACTAATTTCACTTCTGCTACATTCCAGAGTGCTTTACAAAGCGATACATGCAACCTGTATCGAACATTCGAATGCTGAATACTACCACATGATACGCGAGACTGCTTATAGACCTCTACATGGATCCATCTGTTAACTCTTTGTAAATAAACCTATTCTCCCACCTCTCCATGGAGAGTGCTTTGGGGCTCCACTTTATATTAGGTAACAGACAGAAATGAGATGTGTTTTTTGTTTAAAAGGCAAGGAATCAGCATTTTTTAACAGAGGCTGAGAGTATCTATGACCGTCCTTTGGGTCTGTCACTCTGTAAACAGAATTTCCAAACATTACTGGTGAATTGGGAAAATGCCAAGGGAATTCCTGGTTATAAATTCTGAACACACAATCATATTGGTTATTTCCAAGGACTGTGATTTTCATCAATGATCTAATGGATGGCCAGGTGACCAGGTACACTTTTATATCAGATCAGACAATCCCTTAAAAAAAATTGTAGGAATATGGTACTGAAAATCTGAAGCCTGGTTAGGAATACCACATGGAAATATGGTCAGTTTATTCACAGATACCCCATGCTAAAAATTGTGACAAAGTTGACGACAACAGCTTTGAAAATATTGTCATAGCACTTAAAAAGCTGACAACTCAAACAGTCTTGAATAAACGCAGAACACAATATGGTTGGTCTCAAGAATTAGGTGTACAACATCAAAACTTGTAAACATCACACACTTTGGGGTGTGATGAGGGACAAATGTTACAAAATACAGGAAGCCACGAATAAACTTGCTGAGAGAAAATGAACTTCAATATAAGCTGGAGATGGTATATATTAGTATTCGCTAAGAGAGTAAGGAGGCCAGATACTTCTTGGAAAACAGGCTAAATGAAGTGGAGGTCAAACAGATCAGTGGTTTTGATTCCCAAAACACAAAAGGCAACAATGGAAGTTAATAAGGCCATCAAAAAGCACATACACAGCAAATGGAGATCTTCTTTAAAAGTGTTTAAAACTGAAAAGTGGAATTTTGATAAACATGTATTGAGTTTTAGACAGGCTTCAACTTTTGAGTATTGCACACAGTTCTGATCTCCATGTTACATTGAAAGAAAAGAGGCAATGAGGACAATTTCTGAAATGCAAAATATTTATAAGGATGATGCCAGAACTGAAAGGTTATACCTATCAGGAAATAATGAACAGATTGGGGTTCCTCTTCCAGAAAAGAGGAGATTGAAAAGTGACCTGTTTGAGTTTCTTTGTAATTATTAAATGGTTTAATAGGGTAGATACAAAGAAGATGCCATAATGGTGACAGTATGAAACTTTGAGGGAAGACCAGAAGCATGGACCATAAGTGCAAGATAGTCACAAATAATTTCAGGGATTCAGGAGAAACTTCTTTACCTAAAATGGCTGTAAAGTGACTTGTTCAGATAGGTGCTGCATACACTTATATGTGGTTCTATGACCGTATGAAATGGTCACCCTAAACCTTGGGATTGGCTAGAAATGACTGAGTATGCAACATAATTATTTAATGGTAATGGAAACCACCTCAGTCTGTACTGCATTATTGAAGTCAGGTGTTACTAACCTTTAAAATACTGAAGTTTACAACAATATAATTAAAGGGACTACTGAAAGCTAAAATACTATAATGACTAAAATGTTTTCACTCAAGATTTCAGTGCAGGCCTGTTTCAAGCTTAGAAAAGGATTTCCAGTTTACAAATAAAATTCCTTAATCACGGATCATCTTCTATATTAATATAATACAGGCAGACTCATTCAAAATTAACTTTCGCAAACATTTTTTTCCAATTTACCTTTCGTTCATCATCGCTCAGAAAAGATGTATTCCCAGTTCTGTTGAATGGAGAAGTGAGTTTACAGACATCATTGACCTTCTTAATTATAGCCAAAGCTTCCCGCACATTCAAGGACTTAAGTGCATCAGTGCCGAGGATAAAGCAAACAAGAGAGTCTGGTAGACTGCAAAAGAGGTCAGTTACATGTTAGGTTAATTTGTCTCCAAGAACGTTGGTGCACTATATTCCTGACAAAGATGTAAAAGACCCGCAACAAATTTAATCAAGTTTTCAGAAGTAAATATGCATTGTCTTAAAAGCCGATTTTATCTATCTCACATCATTTTCTAAGATGAATCTCCCTGACCTCTACAGACCAGATTCTTGCACAGGTGACTATTTTCACATTATACAAGGTAAAGTTAAAGCCAAGATTCCATAGTGGGCCTGGACCATAGGGCTGCTCTCTCATTACAGCAAGTTGACTGGTGCTGTCTTAGTTGGAGGGCCATCACGCCTCTGATAAAGGATAAGGTTGAGAAGGTTGGACCTTCATGGTAACCTCAGCCAGTGGGGAATTGGACCCACATTGTTGGCATCACTCTGCATTGCAAACCAGCCATTCAGTCAACTAAGCCAACTGGATGGCTAGTTTGCAACACAGAGTGATAGCAATAGTACAGATTCAATTCCTATACCCCCTGAGGGTTACCATGAAGGTCTTTTCTTCTCAATCTTTCCCTTTGCCTGAGGTGTGCTGATGCTCAGATTAAACCAGCACCACCTGCCTCTCTCTCATGATAGGACAGCCCTGTGGTCCTCTGGGATTATGGCGATTTTACTTGCTGCATTCTACAATGTTGCCCGCGACTACTCACCACAACCTTGGAGGCAGGCAATGAAATATTCCTGTGAAACGGTGTCATCTGATTCTGAAGTTTAGCGATGGCATGGCAGTGCCTCGTAACCAATTGAATGTAAAGAGGTTTAAGACACTTTATAGGGCAAAAATATACAATTGAATGGAATGCCCTCTAACTTCGTTGTTGGTTTGATCAGGGAAATAAAAATTCCACTAGATTGTCCAGATTTGTTTCACATGGATCAATTTATCAGCAGTCATCAGCAGGGCTTTAGGATAACTTTTATTAGGTTGAGCTAATTTTGCTTTGTTCGTTTACAGGATGACGGTATCGCTGTCCAGGTTAGCATTTATTGCCCATCTCTAATTGCCCAGTGGGTAAATAAGAGTCAACCATTTACTGTGGGTCTGGAGTCACTTCTAGGCCAGACTAGGTAAGATTGGCATAGATAGCACAGTGTGGAGCTGGAGGAACACAGCAGGCCAGGCAGCACAGAGGAGCAGGAAAGCTGATGTTTCGGGTCAGGACCCTTCTTCAGAAATGAAGAGGGGGAAGGGAGCTGGGAAATAAATAGAGAGAGGAGGGATGGGGCTGGGGAAGGTAGTTGGGATGGTGACAGGTGAGTGCAGGTAGGGAGTGGTGGGGATTGGTCAGTGAGGTGGGAGGAGCGGATAGGTGGGAGAGAAGATGGACAGGTCAATGAGGCGGGGATGAGTGGGAGGGTTGGTCATGGGATGAGGCCGGGGCTGGAGAGTTGTTACTCACTTAACCGACTTAAATTTTAATAAAAATCTACTCCCAGCTTTGATATTTATCAATATTCTGTGTACTACATTTACTGATCTTCCTATCATTGAAAATGTTTCTTCTAACAAAGTTGTGCAGAATTTAGAACACCCCTAGTGTTGTTGGTTGGTTCGCTGAGCTGACTGGTTTTCATGCAAAAGTTTCGTCTCCCTTCTAAGTGATATCGTCAGTGCTGTGTAGCCTCCACTGAAGCGCTGTTCTGTCCTGCTCTGAATTTATATGGTCCGGTCTGTCATGGTGGGCAGTCTTGTTTCTAGTTTTGTACCGTGGTGGTATGTAGATGGGGTCTATTTCAACAAGTTTGTTGATTGCATCGGTGGTTGAAAACCAGGCCTCCAGGAATTCTTGTGCTTGTCTTTGTCTTGCTTGTCCTAGTACTGTAACTTTGTCCCAGTCAAAATGATGTCCTTCTATGTTGGAGCTTATTAAAATGAGGAAGAGTTGGGCGTGCTGTTTTGCTGCAAGTTGGTGTTCATGTGTCCTGGTGGCGTGTTTCCTGCCCGTCTGCCTAATGTAGTGTTTCTCGCAGTTGCTGCATGGTATTTTATAAAGCACATTTGTTCTGCTCATTGTGGGTATGGGGTCTTTCATCTTTGAGAGTAACTGGTGAAGTGTGGCCATTGGCTTGTGTGCTATCCTTATTGCAAGTGGTTGTAGGAGTCTTGTAGTCAGTTCTATGCGTTAAACATACTGTAGGGTGGCCAGTGTGTTTGGGTGTACAGTCTTCTTGGTGTTGTTTGTTTGCTAGGCATTGGCGGATGAAGCTGTTAGGATAACCCTTGTTTGCAAAGACTCTGTATAGGCGTTCCTCTTCGTTTTTGCGCAACTCCAGGGTGTTGCACTGAGTTATTGCTTGTTTAAACAGTGTTGATACAGGTCTGTTTGTGGACGCTGGCATGGTTACTGTTGTAATTCAGGAGGCCTGGTTTGCAACCACTGATGCAATTAACAAACATGTTGAAATAGACCCCATCTACACACACTAGGGTACAAAACCCCGGAAACAAGACTGTCCACCATGACAGACCAGACCTTATAAATTCACAGCAGGACAGAACAACAGCGCTTTAACGGAGGCTAGACAGCACTGACGACGTCACCTAGAAGGGAGACGAAATGTTTGCGTGAAAACCAATCAGCTCAGCGAACCAACCAACAACTCCAACCACAACCTGAGCTACAGATCTTCGTTAAAACATTAGAACACTCCGATTAAATCTTCCGCGAGCCATCTCTGCTGTAAGGAGAAAAATCCCAGATTACCTCAACTCTCCATATATCTGACGTCCCACTGCATTCTATTTCAGTAAGCCTCCACCACACACTGTCCAAGTCGGCTTTAAGTTGCAATATTTTCAAAATATTACTTTATTTTTACACCAGCAAAGTTAGCACGCAACATACCTGGTAGCATTAACAAGCGAGTTGTTTTTCAATAGCAAGTTAATAAAGAATCTTGTGATTTCAGTGGATAGCATCAGTTTTTCAAAAAGAGCCTGATTTGTAGGGTTTGCCACAAACTCTTGAAGCTGCAGAGTTAATATAAATTACTTATCAAATAATGCACTATTTTCATTCCTTACTGAAAATGAAGGTTCAATATTTGCTGTGCAATAAAATGTTTTGCAGTAGCACTGAACAGAAACCAAGGGCTCAACTTCCGTGGAATCAGGGAGACTCAGAAGAACTTTAAAAATGGCAAGATGGGACCCAGATCTAAAGGTTACACTTTCATTCTGGCACATACAATTTCCACAGCAAGGGAAAAGGGGGCAGCATGTGAAGAAAATCCCAAAAGAATGTCAACACCATGCTATAGACAGTCGCATTTCTAAATGACTGCGGCTTCGAATGAAGAGGTTTATAAGGCTGTAAACTGAACCCCTCAAAATTTGATCACTGGTTGGATATATACTGTCCAATAACAGAATCTTAGAATCCGTACAGTGTGGAAGCAGGCCATTCGGCCCATTGAGTCCAAGCTATGGAGAGCCAGCTGAGAAACATTAAGAGAAAGATTGGAGGATTGTGTAAAAGAAGAGATCTCTTATCAGATCATAAAAAATGACAACCTCCCCACAGAAATTCGACTGAACTAAATAGCTCAGTCTGCACTGAACTGGAACAGGGCTATCAAAGCATAATACCCAAACTGTTTCTTGGTGACAATCTCTTTTTTTACCAAGTTCTGGGTTTGAGGCAACTTTTCAATGATACTAAGCCCTATACCTGGCTTTAAAAGTTCGTGACTTTATTGTTGACTTAATTTATGTTGGTAAATTTTTATGATTAGTGGCTAAAATAGTGCATTTGCACAGTTCAAATTGTATGATTTAAGCACTGAGGTATGAACACTAAACTAGCTAATGCTCACAAAAGCCGGCTAGTCACACATTGGCAACTGAGTTCTGAAAGCAAATCAATTTTACCAAGAGTCAGTCACATCTGTGCTTATATTAGTAAGCAAATAAAACACATACCTGGGTCTCATCATCAAAGAAAGACTGAAGATCAGTCAGTGATATTTGATTCAGAAACAGTCCCAGGTAGTCAACAAACCAAGCAGTGGAGTTCAGAACTGGATCACTTGCATTGTAGCATTTGGGTTTGGGTTCTGCAATGTAAGTATTATACTGATAAATACAGAAAGCTTTGGACCCATCTTCAGAAAGTAAAATAGCATTGATTTAAAGCAATTATGTCACAAAATTCAAAATATATTCCACGTTCTCCATTTTTGTGCTAAATCAGTTTCTCATCCCACCATTCCCTTCAAAGCGGCAGCACGGTCAGTGGTTAGCACTGCTGCCTCACAGCGCAAGAAACTCAGGTTCGATTCCAGCCTCAGGCAACTGTCTACATGGAGTCTGCACATTCTCCTCATATCTGTGTGGGTTTCCTCCAGGTGCACAGGTTCCCTCCCACAGTCCAAAGATGTGCAGGTTAGGTGGATTCGCTATGCTAAATTGCCCATTATGTCCAGGGAGGTGCAGGCTAAGTGGATTGCCAAGGGAAATGCAGGGTTACACAGACAGGGTGGAGCGGGGCGCGAGGGGTAGGGATGGTCTGGCTAGTATGCTCTTTGGAGGGTTGGTGTGGGCTTGATGGGCTGAATGGCTGTACACTGTAGGGTCTCTATGATTCACTGCAAATCATTTTTGTTGAGAGCAGTGATTAAACTTAAGTTCTAAGGAATGCGAACTGGCTCCTGATCCCTCATACTGAAAAATTACTCCGTGCACAGAACCAACTACAGTTTCATAGAATCATAGAATCCCTACAGTGTGGAAACAGGCCCTTCGGCCCAACAAGTCCACACCGACCCTTGGAGCATCCCACCCAGACCCATCCCCCTATAACCCACCTAATCTACAGACCCCTGAACACTACGGGCAATTTAGCTTAGCCAATCCACCTACCCTGCACATCTTTGGACTGTGGGAGGAAACTGGAGTACCCGGAGGAAACCCACACAGACACGGGGAGAATGTGCAGACAGCACGCAGACAGTCCTACCTTCTGCAGCCAAGATGGAGGTTCCATGTTTCTTTACATGTAAAATGGATCATTTCCTGTCTTTCACAGTCTAAAATACATTGCAAGTCTTCTCGTACAATTTTAAAAATAAATTTCTGTGGTTACGCCTATCATAAATCCTCTTGCTAAAAACTGTAGTTTAAATTATGAGTGACCCAATCTTATCATGGTCTTTAAATGCTTCTATTAGACTTTTTTAAAAAATCTTTTATATTTGCCTTTTACTTAAATGTACTCTGTGTCTTATACAATACTGCAGTCTTGCTATAAATTAAAATTCTGGCCTTTGCTCTGTCAACTGTAGCTATTCACATGGAGCCTCATCTGTGTGCAGAGAATCAAAGAAGATGACAAGTACATCATCAACAGATGACTAAAAACACAGTTCTAATTGAGAGTTTTGATAGTGCTGGTCAAATGTTACTCCTGATGGAGGTGTGAGCCTGTGGTTCAACAGTAGTTTTTACAATTAGGAATCAGAAGATACAAGGTATGAACCAGACTGCAAATTCAAGATTGACATTCAGCAGGATTAAACACAACACATGGGTATGGGTTCCTCTCCCTTTACACCACATGACAAACCAGCATGTTGGATAGCACAGATAATTGTGGTCAAGAAGGAGCATTTATGTTAGGCAACAATAAAAGACTACATGAAATGGGTGTTTTCCAATTATAGACAAATGCATTCCTGTCATGGCAATAAAATATAAGTGGCCATTAATGTGAATAATAAAGTAAAAAATACAATTAAGAAGAGATCATACAGTCCTTGGGCCGGTTTCCCCATTCAAAAAGATCCTGACTAGCCTTTGACCAAAACTCCACTCCTTACATGATTTTGACACCTCTAGTTTCCTTTCAACTCCAACTCCAACAAAGTCTTGCTTATACTCAACGTGTGAACACCTAACTAAAGCCCTCTGCAGTACAGAACTTTAGATATTCACAACTCTGAATGAAGAAATTTCTCTTCAGCTCAGTTTGAAGTCACCCTCTTTATCCTGATGCAAACTTTTCTATACAAGTCACAAAGCAATTCAAAGATTATAGTATGTTTATTCCATAAATACAATACTTTAAAAGTGAAAGACTACTTTTATTACCTTGTTGTAAATAAATTTTGATCCCATTGTAGATTTCTCTCCGTTTGCTAGAAGTCATGTTACTGTAGAGAGCGTTCAATGTTCTCACACTAAATGTGAAATTTAAAAATATGTTAACATTTAATCTTTTCATCGGGCATTATTACAAGTTTTATTTTAAAAGACAAGTGAAGAAAATAAATGACCATTAATATGATGAAAAAGAAAAGCAAATTGCAATGTGGATCTCTATGCTCCCTCCCAACATACACTCACACATTTTATATAATATTTATAAATATGTTAGATATATAAGTGTGAAAGAGCATAATGATAGAGAGAAGATGCATCCACATTTTGGGACTTACTATGCACCACACCCCAATTCCAGACTTTCTTGGAATTTCAGAATACAACATTCTTGGCACTACACCAGAGCTACAGGTTTGTAAAATTTGATATCAAGCCTACCAACTACTCTTGATAGGTTACTAATGAGTTTTCATTATTTAGATAAGGAGCTGGATTGAACAAGAAAGACAATTTCAGCTCCATTTGCCCCACCTGTAAGGCTTCTTTTCACATTGCAGCCAACATAACCAAAGACCCCTCCTAACCCGGTTATTCTCTCTTCCACCCTCTTCCGCCTGGCAGAAGATAAAGAAGTTTGTATATAAGTGCGAATAGATTCAAGAACAGCTCCTTCCCCACTGTTATTAGACCTCTCAAATTATAAATTTAATCTCACTCTCTGTGCACCTTCTCTGCAGCCATAACGTTGTATTCCTCACATTGTTCTATCACCTTAACGCACCTTATATGTTATGATCTGGTGGTACTGCACACAAAACTTTTCACTGTAGCTAGGTACATGTGACAATTGTAAATCAAATCAAATCATTGTTTACACTACGTGTGACATAACGAATCAACCTGCAAACAGTCCACCAAATATCCATTCCTTAAATAATTAGAAGTCTTTTGTGAGTATCATACAATTCAATTTAAAAACAAAAGAAGTTTCTTCTACCACGTCCATTGTACATCCCCTCGACTCTAATTTTCTTTTCTTCAACTAACAGAGACCAACAGCAGTAAGCCTTGACCCTGTTTCCACTGCTCTGCTGAGTCTGGCTTTAGGAAATTTCATAATATTAAATAACATCACATTGATACTATGATTGATATAAAATGACGATTTTTCTTTCAGATAAGGGTTGTATGAACTTTCCCCTCAATCAATAATTCACATAATTGGGGATAATGATTGCATTATTCTAGGTATTTAACCAGTGGAAACGAATAAACTCCAATATGAATTCTGCGGTTGGTTCGCTTGGCGAGCTGGTTCGTTAGTTCGCAGACATTTCGTTACCCAGTAGGGTAATGAAACGTTCGCGAACCAACGAACCAGTTCGGCGAGCGAACCAACCACAGCATCCACAATCCAGGCGACAAATCTGCTCAAGAATCCAATTTGAATTAGAAAACATCAATGATAAAAGTGATGCAAATGCTCCCGCGCCCAGATACATCTGAAGCAGAAACTGATTAGAGTCCAGTGTTGCTTATACTTACTGTTGCCTACTTAGAACCAAAGTGAATTATAAGTAAATATTCAACAGGAAGTATTGATGCTGATGTAACAGCCAAACTAGAACTGAGCAAGAAGCCCGCAAAGAACAATTCTATAGCGATAGAAACGAATGAGAGTATATTTACATTTTCCTGTAAGGAAAGCACGGAATTTTCAGAGTGACGTTGGAAGCCAAGAGTTCAGTTGTGATAAAAGGCAAATATGGTTGCAGTCTGACATTAAGCCATTCATCCACATTAATATCTTTGTTTTCAGACAATGCTGTAGCAAAGTGGTACCAGAAAACCTCCAGAAATGCAACACGATTATCATCGGTCAGACGACTCTGGAAAAGGAAGAGACATAGTTTTGTTTCAAACAGTGAAACGCTCAGCTTGCTGTATAGACCTTACTTAATTTCAAAGTGAAACATTTCCTAATTTCATTCTAATAAAAGAAAAAACATGTTTTTCTTTATTGATGGGATGAGGGAGCTGCTGGTTAGGCAGCATTTTTTGCCCATCCCTAATTACCCAGAGGGCAGTTCAGAGTCAACTACATTGGTGTGGGCCTGAAGTCATACATAGGCCAGGCCAGGTAAAGATGGCAGTTTCCTTCTGTAAAGGACACTAGTGAATCCAGATGGGTTTTTCTGACAATCAATAATGGACTCATGGTCATTAGTTGACTCTTAATTCCATACTTTTTCTTACTGAACTCAAATTCCACGATCTGCCGTGGCTGGATTGGAATGTGGGTCCCCAGAACATTATCTGGGTCTCCGAATTCAGCAAGAATACCACTAGACCATCGCCTCCTCTGACATGATAATGATTGCGCTTCAAACTCTAAGTAAGATTTAGTGATCTACAAATCCGAATGAAAAATTCAAAATTTCAATTTGTGGTATGCAAATCAAACGCTAGCTGATTGCTTCCTTTCACACTATGCAAACATTTTCAGCTATGCCTAGGCTCTCTGAAACCGGTTAAACCAGATTCCACTCCATCTCAAGGCTAGTGTTACTTTCTCATTATCTGCAACAATGTACAATCTGTAGCCTTAATTACAACTCAATTTTGGATTTAATGCACTGTGGATATGAATGATACACATTCCTTCACCATTTTAGCTCATCTGATGGAGAAACTCTCAGTAATGCCTTTGTTATAAAGTCAAAGAGTCATAGAGATGTACAGCACAGAAACAGACCCTTCATGGCGACCCGATATCCTAAATTAATCTAGTCCCATTTGCTCGCATTTGGCCCATATCCCTCTAAACCCTTCCAATTCATGTACCCATCCAGATGCCTTTTAAATGTTGTAATTGTACCAGCCTCCATCACCTCCTCAGGCAGCTCATTCCATACACACACCACCCTCTAATTTAGCACAAAAATAGAGAATGTGGAATGTATTTTGAACGTCGTGACTTAATTGTGAAAAAGTTGCCCCTTAGTTCCTTTCTAAATCTTTCCCCTCTCACCTTAAACCTACGCCCTTTAGTTTTGGACTCCCCTACACTAGGAAAAAGATCTTGGCTATTTACCCTATCCATGCCCCTCATGATTTAATAAACCTCTATAAGGTCACCCCTCAGCACCTTGCCCTTCCAGACTTTGTAATCTCGAGCAATTTTTTAATGTTAAAAATGCAAGATAAGTTGTTACAGTATTCCCCATCTTACCAGTGCTGTTACTGTCCTATAGCACGCAGTTTAACAGCCAGCTGGTATCCTGCAGAATGTCATGTGAATGGAAAGTAGGTTAAAGCAGAGAAGGTGAAGGTGAGATTTATTAGAGGGGTTCAGTGGAATAGATATATAGAATCAGCTTCCACTGGCAGAAGAGGCTAACCAGGGAACAGACGTTAGAAAATTATCAAAAGAAGATAATTTTTACACAAGTCATGGCCCAGATTGAAATACTTGAAAGGGTGGCAGATGCAGGAACATAGGAACAGGCCATTCAACCCAGCAATCCCATGATCAACACGATCACGGCTGATTGATCACTTCAATGCCTTTTGCTCACCCCGTACCCACAATTCTGCACGTCCCAGGTAATGAGCAAGCTATCAATCTCTATCTTAAACATACTCGAAGCAGATTGAACAGTAATGTTCAAAGATTAAAGATATACATGAAAAGAAGAAACCTGGATGGCTATATGGAAAGAACAGGGATATGGGATTGAATTGACAGTTCTTTCAAAGAGCAAGCAGAGGTATAATGGACGAAACAACTTCATTCTGTGCAAGATGATTTTATAAAGGAAGTAACTTGCACTTAAATAGCTTCTTACACAACCTCAAAACATCCCAAAATACCTGGAAATGAATTAAATGTTTGCAGAATGCACTTATCTCTGTTGAAGTAAATACAGCAGCTAATGTGGACACAGTAATGTTCCAGAACAAGTCATTTGTGTTAGTTATGTTGGTGAGGAACATACATTAGACTGAACATCCGTGCACACTCCATGCAACAAAACTTCACAATCCTTGCACACCCCACTAAACCTGTCAACATGCAGGTTGCAGATATTTTACTAATCAACCAGTTCAGAGATATTATTGCACACCTCTGGAGCAAGTGGAGCTTAAACTGGGGCTCGTAGCCGAGAGATAGGGATGTTACCACTGCATTACAATACCCTACATTTAGTTTTTCTTATATTTTCTATTCAACCTTTTCAAAGATGTGATTGCACACCTCTGGAGCAGGTGGGACATGAACCTGGATCTCCTGGCTCAGAGTTAGGAACATTACAAGAACCCTACATGTAGATTTTTTTATTTCTTTTGTATCCTACACATGTGCTCTTATGCATTTTTTTTACCTATCACCAAATCACCTTTGGCACTTTTTCTCCATCTACTAACCATCACCTGTAAATTACCCGTGTTTTCCAACTGAATAACTTGCATGCAAAGTAGTTAAGGGCAGTGCAGATCATCAAAGGTGAGGGAGAGGTAGGAAGATTGGGAAGGGTCTAAATGTAATCGGAATGGGAGATAAAGCACTCTTCCCACTGTGGTGCCCTCCTCTCTCTCTCGGCTACATGCAGTTATTAGTTCACAGGCAAAGTGTCCATACCTGCATATATTCACCCCTTGCCCTCCCATTAAGAGGCACTTAGACCTGAGATCAAAACTTCAGTTCACAAAGAGTGGTATAACAGACATTGTTTTGAAAGAACTATTATAACTTATCTGCACAGCATATAATCAGGAACATAACATGTGAAGCTCACATCTTGGACTGTTTGGTTGAAAATATCGATAAATGTAACTAGATTCTGAACGGATCCATAAGTAGTTAACACTGTGATCAGAATCTTGTTGTTATTAATGAATCTTGGCCTGTTCAGAAGATCAGCCAATCCACTGGGATCGATGGTTTTCAACACCTGTAAAAACAAGAGGAAGATTCTCAATTTTATATCAATAGTATCAGTCACTGAAGATTATTGAACATTTAAATAAATTTGTAATGATAAAGTAGCATACAGCTGCATTTATTTTGACACTCGGGACAATCAAAGTTAACTCAAAATTTGGTGTTTTGGTTTTGTTTTGTTTGGAGTTTGGTTTGGCCTATGTAATGAGAATTTTGCACAATCTTCATCACCTTATTTTTCAGCATGAACAGGACGCAAGGTAAATATGGGGATTTGCCTCCATTTTAAGGAAATCAGGTGCTTCATCCTACATCCTTGAAATGGTGATCTGTCCAAATCCAGTCACCTAGAACATGAATATTGCTGAAAGAAGACACATTGTGCTGAAGCTTTTGGTTTTGCACTCATCAGGTCACCTCTCAAGGATACCATTGTAAGGGGGAACATTTTGTGCTGTGTGAGGACAGATAAGTGATTGGTTGGCCAATGGATTTGACAGCATCTAACAGGAAGTTGCTATCAAGCCAGAATGACATTCTGTTGATCACACAATTCAGTAATGTAATATATGAATTTCAGTATTATTTCACTGTTCAGTACGTAGGCCATAAATTACAATGTCTGGAAGATAATTTCAAAAGCATGTCTCTTCAGCTGTTCACACAAACAAAGCTACATCCAACCAGAAAAACTCATGACATGGTGTTCAACATTAAATATCGTTCAGCAATTGGATAGCATTTACTAGATAATCCAGAATGTGTTAAGAATTAGCACTTGTGTGCACAGGTAACTACATCTACTGATAACAACAAGCCAACACATTGCGACTGTTTCAACTTTTAAAATAGGCGACAGCTGCTCTCTGATTCTTCAGGGCAACACCTTGACCAGAATCAGAATCAATCTGCTTTAGTTAATTAAACACAGTTTGGCATTTAATGTCAGTCATAATTAACTGTAACATCTCCATCATTGCGTCCACATGTCAACTAATTGGCACACTCTTTTCATATGGTATTAAATGTGGTCCCCAATATATTGGCATTCTTGCAAAGTGCGAAGTTGGCCAAACCAGCTTTATTAAACACTTAAACAACCATTGGGACAGCACGGTCACTCAGTGGTTAGCACTGCTGCCTCACGGTACCAGGTACCCGGGTTCAATTCCAGTCTCTAGCGACTGTGTGGAGTTTGCATATTCTCCCCGTGTCTGTGTGGGTTTCCTCCCACAGTCCAAGGACGTGCAGGTTAGGTGGATTGGCTGTGCTAAATTGCCCATAGTGTTCAGGCATGTGTTGGCTAGGTGGATTAGCCATGGGAAATGCAGGGCCACAGGGACAGGGTGTGCATTTGGGTCTGGATGCGATGCTCGTTGGAGAGTCAGTATGGGCTGAACGACCTGCTTCTACACTATAGAGATTCTATAATTCTATAATTTTGCCTTGAACATTGGATAGTTAAAGCATGTTGATTAGTTTCTATTGGGAGTTAAAGCATATAATAACATGCGGTGACTTACACATCTTTGAAGTGAGTAATTTCTACAGAGATGTAATTGCTTTCATGTGTAGACATTTTTCTGTACATGATTTCAAAGCATTGGATAAAGTTTCTTTAACCTTATGTCAATCGAGGCATATTAGTACATTAATATAAAATGATAACACTAAAGATGAACAAGAACAAAGAACAAAGAAAATTACAGCACAGGAACAGGCCCTTCGGCCCTCCAAGCCTGCACAGACATGCTGCCCATCACAACGAAAACTCCCTCTGTTTCCAGGGACCGTATCCCTCTATTCCCATCCTATTCATTTATTTGTCAAGACGCCCTTTAAATGTCACTATCGTATCTGCTTCCACTACCTCCCTGGCAGCAAGTTCCAGGCACCCACCACCCTCTGTGTAAAAAAACTTGCCTCGTACATCACTTTTAAACCTTGTCCTTTGCATCTTAAACCTATGCCCCCTAGTAACTGACTCTTCCATCCTGGGAAAAAAAGTTTCTGACTGTCCACTCTGTCCATGCCCTTCATAATCTTGTAGACCTCTATCAGGTCGCCCCTCAAACTCCGTCTTTCCAGTGAGAACAACGCAAGTTTCTCCAACCTCTCCTCATAGCTAATGCCTTCCATACCAGGCAACATCCTGGTAAATTCTTTCTGTACCCTCTCCAAAGCCACCACATCCTAATGGTAGTGTGGCAACCAGAATTAAACACAATATTCCAAATGTGGCCTAACTAAGGTTCTATAAAGCTGCAACATTACCTGCCAATTTTTAAACTCAATGCCCTGGCCAATGAAGGCAAGATGCTGGAGGTCCAAAATAAAAGCAGAAAGTGTTAGAAAACACAATACGTCTGACAGCACCCAGAGAGAGATGAAGTGTAATACTTTAAAGTCCAGTATGACTCTTCTTCAGAACTGTTAGCTCATTAATAGATCATTTTTCTTATTATTTTAGATAATCATAATCCATTATTATTGAATTTGAGTGATTGCAATCATTCAACGAGATGACTGAGTATTTTAGTGCAGAATTCACTTATAGAATGATACAGTGGTTACAGCACTAAAGGAAGCCAGCAAATCCAAGCTGGTCTCTTACAACAATTCACTTGGAGCTATTCCCCCCAAAACATCTCTACAACATACACCAATCTCAAAGTTTCCTACTATGCAAGTATGCCATAGTCCTCCGGAGAATTTTCCTTAGCTCCAGCTATTGGAGGTATAACTTCCATTTACCCTCTCTTTACTCTCGATGTTTCAAATCCCTTGTTATGATTACTTATCCAATACTTCCAAGCTCACATGTTTGTTGCTGTCTTTGGCACACTGTGAAGGACCTGCAGGCATATCCACTCACTTCATCTCAGTTTTATCCCTCTGCGTCCCCACCTTAATGAATTTCAGACACAGCATGGCGTTGAACCCTTCTTCTATTGCTTTCATCTCCGTGCCCATTTCTTTGGACAAGAGTCATCTCACTGTCCCCGAGACCCCTTCACCTACCTCCAACAGTCTCCCTCCACTTGGACCTCTCCGTACCCTTGACCAGTTCATTTCGAACTGTTGATGTGACATCGGGTGTTGAGGAAGGGTCACTGGACCCTAAATGTTGGCTCTGATTTCTCGCCACAGATGCTGCCAGACCTGCTGAGCTTTTCCAGCAATTTCATTTTCTGTTTCTCTCATCTCAAACTGGGCTTGCAGCGTTTGTTTCTCACAAAATTTGAACAGAGATTAATCCTTACCCACCTTCCACATGATCAAAGATGATGTAAGGGTTTTGCTCTGCTTTCAGCACATATCTAGCTATGTATGGTTAATTTTGTCTAAGTTTTAGTTAGCTACAAAACACACCAAATCCAAACTACAACTAGAAGCTCTCTCAGGAAACAATGAAATTGAAACTAAAGAAACTTCCTAAGCTTCAGCCATCAGGATGTGGCCTCCTCTGAGCTATCCTCAAACTGACTTCTAAGTTAATTATCTTTCACTTAGAACTTCTTCAACTCCATTTGAAACTTTCCTTCAGTCCAAAAAACCCCAAATGTTCACCACTAACATATGTTTCCTTTCATTCATTCAGTCAATTTTGTTTCGATGCTTTATTCCATTTCATTCCACAATTTCTAACTTTGCTTACAGGTCTGTTGATGCCACCTTATCAAATGCTGTTTAGAAGTCCAACTAGACCATACCATAGCATTTTTCTCATCAACTGTTGGCTCATTAAAAATCCCAAGCAAGTTAGTTAAACATGGTATGCACATGACAATTCAGCGCTGTTTTCTTTAATTATTCCACTTTTGGCAAACAACTATCAACTTTGTCCAAAATGATCATTTCTTAAACTTCCCCATTACCATGCTTAAACTATAGTTGTTCAGCTTATTTTTATACACTTTTGAACAAGGATGTAACATTTGCAATTCTTCAGTCATCTGGTACGAACCCAGAGTCTAAGGAAGATTAGAAAATTATGACCAGTGCTTCTGTGCCTTCAGTATCCATGGATGAACTCTACCCCTGGTCCTTGTTTCTAATGCATGTTAAGTACAGACAGCATATATAATACCATCTCCTTATCAAATGTTAACATTCCAAGTGGCTGAATTACTTCCTGTTTCATCATGACCTGGGTAGCATCTTCTTCCTTGGCAAAGACCGGATTTTCTGTTTTTTTTTGTTTTTCTTCAATTCAAACACAGGATGTGGGCAACAGTAACTAGGGCCAACTTTTATTGCCCATCCTAAGCCTCCCATACCTGAAAAATGCGGTGATGAGATGTCTTCTTGAAATGCTTAATTCCTTGCGATGCAGATATTCTACTGAGCTGTTAGTAAGGAATTTGCAGGCTTGCTTCATCTTAATCACTCTCTTTTATACCATCCGAAGACTTTGGATTTATTTGTTCTATCTTTCCCCTTTGGGGGATTATACTTTGACTGGGCCTGCGGTGGTGAGATGTCTTCTTGAAATGCTTAATTCCTTGCGATGCAGATATTCTACAGAGCTGTTAGTAAGGAATTTGCAGGCTTGCTTCATCTTAATCACTTTCTTTTACACCATCTGAAGACTTTGGATTTATTTGTTCTATCTTTCCCCTTTGGGGGATTATACTTTGATTGGGCCTGAATTCTTTATTCTTCAGAGACAGTTCATTGTTCGGTATGGTATTGCACAACAACCTCTGTTTCCAACTTATCTGGGCCAAGCTGGTTTTGTCCCCCTAGTTAATTCTTCTTTTCTCTGCATTGTTCCTTGTCGTTGTCAATAGCCAGATTAAACCTAATGATACAATGATCACTGCACCCTAGCTTTTTTCCCACTTGGCCCACCTTCTTCCCCAAAACCAGTTACTCGGTACCTGCTGTTTTATGGGATTGGATCATACTGTTGCAGAAACCTCTGCTGAACACATCTTAGGAAATCTTGCCTCTTCCAGTGCTACTATCCCAGTTAATATACTTATAATTGATGGCCCCACTGCACAGAATTCCTGCACTGCTTTGAGATTTCATTGCAAGTTTGTTCCTCTACATCTCTACTCATATTTGGTGGCCTTTAGACACTGCCAAGCAAAAAAATTAAACTTTTTTTGCGGCTTAGCCTTAACCAATAAGATTATTTCCTTGGCCCCTCTGGTCATCCTCTCTCTCCAACATTGCAATGTGCTCCCTAATCAGTACTGCCACCCGTTCTCCTTTCCTTCTTTCCTGATCTTCTTTGAACTCCTGGAACATTTAATACTGGGTCCTGCCTTCTTTGATCCAAGTCTCTGGCTTCATCACAACATTACATTATCTGCATCTGCAACTCACCAATCTTATTTATTGCAATCTGTACATTCAAATATTTGCACGGGAAGCCTACTTCAGGACTTCATTACCATCCCACTAATGCTGTACCTTACCCAATTTCCTACTCTAGTGATATCTGTTTCTCCAATTGCACTGTACACCTTGGCGTTCCTCTCTAAATGATCCCCTGGTTTCCACTACCTGTCAAGTTTAGTTTAATTTGGGTTTATGTTACCAGTTTATACTTCAACAGGTATTTTCCGAGTCATACATAAACGCTTATGAAATTTTCTTTGTTTTTACCTCAGCAAGTTGACTGCGAGGGACCTGATGAAATGTATCCGTCAGTGTTAGAAATTCTGAGAAATTTTGGAATCGATTGTTTAGGTAATCAACAAAACTGTTGTTCCCAAAGCAATGAAGGGGTGAGACTGTGGGAGAAACAGGAAAATATTTGCTAAGTCTTTTTTTTCAAAACAACAATCCTGATACAACAAAGATGTAAATTGCTGGTAATCTAGTCGTCATATTTATTCTTCAAATATACAAAACAATAAAGGAAAATACAGCATTTTCAGCTCTGATGATGCAATTAAGGTTTTAGTAATCTTACAGTTTTGTATTATTGTTCATGATTCATCAAGGAGAGAAAGATGAGAAACAATTCAAAATTGGTACTGATGTAGATAAGTGGTCAGCTTAACCTTGAAATGACACTGACATATCAGCAAATTAACATTTTGCCTTGATGTCCTTTTAACATGTTTCTTCCCCACTATGAGTAGAAAACTAATTTCACATTAATGAATTAAACATTTGACCATTCAAACGCACAGAACATAATTTCAAGTCTAAAATCACAAATCAATTTGACAGAAATTCACACAAATATTATATCAGGGCACATTTATCAAACTGAACAACTTAATTTCTCTTTAAATAGAGTTATAGAGTTGTACAGTATGGTCAAACTCATCCATGACCACCTAAATTAATCTGGTCCCATTTGCCAACATTTGGCCCATATCACTCTGTTCATGCACCCATCCAAATGCCTCTTAAATGTTGTAATTGTACCAGCGTCCACAACTTCCTCTGGCAGATCATTTCATACACACACCACCCTCTGTGTGAAAAAGTTGCCCTTTAGGTTTTTATATCTTTCCTCTCTCATCTTAAACCTATGCCCCTCTAGTTTTGGACTCCCCTACCCTGCAGAAAAGGCCTTGACTATTCACCCTATCTATGCCCCTCATGATTTTATAAACTTCTATAATATCACTCCTCAACCTCCAACACTCCAGGGAAAATAGCCCCAGCCTATTCAGCCTCTCCCTATAGCTCAACCCCTCCAACCCTGGCAATTTATATTCATGGAACCAGATGTCTTAACCAGTGACTACATAAATGTTAACTCACTTTCAAGAAACAAATCTACAATATTCCTTTCATGTGAATGCTCAATCTAATAAAAGTTCGGAACTATAGATATTGATTAATATAAAAACAAGGTGGACAAGGATAAATTACTGTAGTGAACAAATTGTGCAGATTTAAGGACACCATAGAATGTAACCTGGTCTCAAGTTATACTCAGTTACTGGTGATTCATCTTAAAATATGATCAAAAGCACAATCAGACCAAACGTTAATACATTGATTTGGAAATGCATTATATCTATGAAGACAACAGGGTGTCAGAAGTATTTACTTATTGTCTTTTAATATGGGTATCTCTATTGAAAGCTTCTAATTCCATCCCCTTGACCCATTCCACCATCCCCCTTCTTCCAGGCTACCGTATGCTAAAAGAAGTGAGAGACATGTGACTGTTTGATTTATTCTCCCAGCTACGCCTGCAGAGAGATACTAAGCCCTCACGTTGTACCTCTCTGAGAAATATAGCTGGAATCTGGACCTCAGGAGAATGGTCTCAGGATAGATGTCTGTCTATTCCCTTGCACTGTGTGCTGCAATTGTGTGTAGGGTCAGCAAAACACTCAAACATCAGACAAACAATTAACTTCTCCTTCAAATGCTACAAGTCTACTAACACACAAATAAAAGTGTGTAAATAACACAAATCATTGCATCGTTACCATTATTGGAAACTAATATATTCCTGTATATGGCTTCTTGAACAGCAATATCTAGTTGTTGTTTGATTGAGCTCAATGCGGAGATACTATAAAAGACAAACAGATATATATTACAGAGAGATCATCACAATTAAAAGTGAAGCTTTGTTTAGACCAATATGACCCAAGTGTGCAAAATTCCCCTTTGGAATCAGACTATCACGGCCATTTTCCTGACTAGCCTCAAAACTTTGGCTGCATTCAGAACATGCTAACTTGCTGAAATCAATCTTCCCATGACACACTCATCCATTCCCAGGCATTTTCATGGATTCTCGCCTCTACCTTTTCATTTACAGATACCAAGGAGTTCTGTACATTGGCCTAACCCTTCACGAAAACATACACCTCTCTTCCCCTCCCAAGAACACATTCCCATCCCTCCCCTCCCAAAAACACATGCCCATTCCACGCCTCCCAAAAAAACACACAGCCAACCCTCCCTTCCCAAACACTCATACATCTGTGTTCCAGCCTTGCCCTTTAGTTTCTTCAGAACATTTTTAGGCTCCTCCTCATCCTCTCATCACCACGTTATTGTTGAGGCCCTTGACTGGAAATGGAATGTGATGATTTACTTGGTGTTAAAGCAGACTCTTTAGATTGGTTGCATAATGTTCAATAAACTCACCAAATCTACGTACAGCTGGTATCAGCCTGAGTGCCTGGCACATTGTTGTTAGAAACACTGATGACTTTAAAGAAAAAAGTAACTCAAAACTGTTTCTTGATCACAAAGAAAGACTTCAACAAACGTGTTGCAGTTTGGCACATTTTCAATATTGACCATCCAGCTAAAAGCACTCTTTCTTGCAACCAGTGCAAAAACACAAAGTATTTTTTAGTTTCCATTTGTTTATAGTGAACTGAAAGGAAACCTGTATTAGACTTACATGACTTGAGACCCATTGCAGCTTTCAGTGACAAATAATGAAGGTACCATGGTTTCATTAAGTCCAGGTAACAGTGCTTGTAGCCTTGTTCCAAACCAGAAATGGAGCTCAGCAGTACTGGCATTTGAAAGAATCGGCTGAATGAGGTTGAGAACTTCCTCTAACAAAGCTGTTTGCACACCAGGAGAGAAATCCACTTTTCTCTGAGAAGGCAAGGAATAAAATAACTTTTAATACAAAGGTAGGGCAGGAATCACCGCCGAAAAGATTCCCACTCTTCCAATGGAAAATAAGGAACGACATGCAAAGCACGTGCAAGTCTGGTTGGTGCTGCACAATGTTCAGGCAATTTTGTATATTCTGTTTTTGTCATGATCCATACATATGACCCACACAGCACCTGAAACTATTAGACAAATTATAATTTGCAATACTTTAACTACTTTTAGGAGCACCCTCAAATTTGCAGCATCATTCAAATCATTAATAGAGATGGGCATAACAACTTAACCTGCTTGGCGTCACAGTATTACCAGTCATGACCACTTTGGAAATGAGATCAATTGCCTGGAGAAATTGCTGTGTGGTGGTGTTTATGAACTGAGATTGATCTAAAACGAGTGATAAAGATTCCCACCTTGTCAGCAGCAGTTCTGAATGCATCAATGAACTCAACAATGGTGCCATTATTGATGTTTCTGAAAATTCTCTGCACTTTGTAACGGTTCCTCAGTGCCCCATTGCCAGCCAGTTCCCCCAGTTGTGAAACAGACAGTAATTCTATGACATCAAACTATGAAAAATGAAAAGAAAATAGAAATGTGAATCCTCCTACTAATCTGCAGTCTGTCTACTTTGAGAAATATGTTGCATATAACCCTGTGGAGATATTATAAATCCAAGAAACTGGTTCAGGCAACCAAGACAACAGTCCAAACCATTGCACCTGCTTTATGTAGTACGATGTTAGAATACAGTGTTATGATCACGGCTGATATTACTATTGTACAAGCCAGATTCCAGAATGAAATCTGACTTGATAGATCATATTTTATTTTGGATTGATTTTAACAAAGTGGTCTCTCACCGAAACATAAGCGCACAATATTGTAGAATTCTCCTTAACAACGGGAATGAAGATAAAACAGAAATAAAACAATTTATTTATAATACAAATTTAATGACTTTGAAATACATAGTGAATTATAAATCCATAAAACATACCTTACAGATCTCAAAATACTCTGTAACTGTACTGCCACCCCAATATCTCTTTCTCCAACATCTCAATTGCTTTAATTTGACTTCAGTTTCCAATTTGGACAATCAAATAGCTCCAGGAAGAAATTGTCAAACACCTGCGCTTAAATATTCTCAGCTTCAAATAACATTTTCAGGGTTTCAGCCAAATACCTTTGATCTGGAACAATCACTAATTCTTTATTCTAAAATAACCTCATGTTTAAAAAATCTAACTATCTTCTCACTTTCTCAGGAGCAATTTTACACATGAAACCTTCTGCAGGACTGCCCAAAACTGAAAATACATCTCTCTCTAAGCTCTGGGTATTTCCCCTATGCTTAAAAAGTCCAGAAATTACAAATAGAAACCTTCAAGTATAATTATTTAGCCTGAACTTAGCAAGAACTGCAGATGCTGGAGTCAGAGATAACACAGTGTGGAGCTGGAGGAACACAGCAGGCCAGGCAGCATCAGAGGAGCAGGAAAGTTGACATTTCAGGTTGGGACCCTTCTTCGGAAATCTTCAGAAATTTCTGAAGAAGGGTCCCGACCCGAAATGTCAACTTTCCTGCTCCTCTGATGCCACCTGACCTGCTGTGTTCCACCAGCTCCACACAATTATTTACCTTGCTAGGTTACAAACCCTCCCAAGATAAATAAAATCCCACTCAAGGTGTTGAGGAATGACTTTCCTACCTGAACTTCAGCAATGTTCCACACTTCCATAAGGCTGTCCTCAATGAAATGTGATACTGGATACAAACATATTGCAATCCCAAAACAGGACAAGAGGACTGCATTATCTGAGGCTGTGACATTACCTGTGGGAATGAACTGGCATGTGTTCTACACTAGCGCTAGAGACTGTGAAGTGGGGGAGGTCACTGACACACCACTCAAGACTATTCTCTCTTGCCAGATTAATGTTGGGGCCTGCTAAATGATGCACAACCATACCATCATGAGTGGATCACTGGACACTTGAGTATATTTGGAACGAAGAGGATACCTAACAGTTTGAGCTGGCTAAGATCCGTCACCTGTGCAATAACAATATGTACTAATGTGTGTCTTCTGTCCACTCCATACTCAGCAATTCTGAGGTGGTGGTACCATAATGAGGCCTCAACGTGGACAGGAAAATAAATGTTTAACTTTGATAACTTTCTTCTTTGGCTTGGGTAACTCACCCCAATGAAGTTCTTGTTCAGAGCTAGGAGTTTGCTGTAGGGGACAAATGATAGGAATCTGCCGAAGTTAGTTAGGAGCCAAGCTTTACTTCCGTTAGTGCCAGCAGTACATGCAGTTTCTGGTAAAGAAAACGAACAGATTACATCCATGCTCATGAAATAAAACAAGCAGCCGATATGCCCTGATTGCATGCACTCAAGACAGGGTGATATACATAGAAACCATCAGCCTCTAGCACTGGTTTCTTTCCTCCATAAACTTAACTGGACTCAGAATTAGAGACTGCAGGTCATCAATTTTATACTGATGCTGCCTGGAAGTCCCTGATCCAAAAAATGGCCATATATATCATTGCTTGCATTTTGCTCCATCAGCTTGCATCAATGTAACTGTGCGGTACCTCCGACTGATTTAAACATTTATTTAGCCATAATTATGGTCAGATAACCATTCAATAGCTAAATTCAAGTAGAAAAGTCCCACATCTCTGGTTTCCCAAGGTGATTGATGGTTTAACGGTTAGTACTGTTTTGAAATTTCAAATCATCTGGTATATGTGAGAAACATTTTGCTATTTCTTGACCAGAAACGTAGGAGGAAGTTTTAACAAAAAAGTATAGGTTTGATTCAAGTTGGAGGTTAAAGATTCCTGATCCAAACCAGTCTTCAACCTATCCATTTCTGTCATTGACTAAGGTAGGAAGGAGTGAGTAACCAACTGCACCAAGGAGGTTGGTTGGACGGCAACAACGTTACAGAAGGACTCAGCCTTTTCAATTTGAAATGTAGCAGGTCCTGCCTCCTGAACCTCACTTGCTATGTTTCCAGGTGACGATTTGACAAATCCATTGATGAACGTCTTTACGTCTATCTCATGGAAAGATTGAGTATACACTCACAGAGTCATAGAGCACAGAAATAGACCTTTCATCCAACTCATCCATGCTGACCAAGTTTCCCAAACTGAACTACTCCCACTTGCCTGCAACTGGCCCATGGTCCTCTGAACATCTCCTTTCCATGTACCTATATAAATGTGCTTTGAGCAATGTAACTGTACCCGCTTCTACCACTTCCTCCAGCAGCTCATTCCACATACAGGATGAAACTTTACTCTCAGGATCACATGAAAGCATATAAGATTACAGGTTCCATCTGACTGGTGGCAGGAAGTTGAGTTGAAAGCCAAGGTCAACTACCACTGTATTTTATTTTAATTCACTCACAGGATATAGGCATCTTCTGGCTATGTTAGCATTTATTGCCCATCCCTAGCTGCCCAGAGGGCAGTTAAGTGTCAACCGCATTGCCCTAGAGTAACATGTAGGCCAGACTAGGTGAAGACGACAGATTTCCTTCCCTAAGGGACATTAGTGAACCAGATGGATTTTTCCAATGATTGACAATGGTTTCATGACCATTCTTGAACAACAGAGAGCTCAGTGATCTACTCCTGCTCCTATTTCATTGAATCATAGAACCTCTACAGTGTGGAAACAGGCCAATTGACCCAACAAGTCCTCACCGCCCCTCGAAAGAGCATCCCACTCAGACCCATCCCCCTAGCCCTTCCCCGTAACCCTGCATTTCCCACGGCTAATCCACCTAACTTACACACCCCTGGACATTATGCGCAATTTAGCATGGCCCATCTACCTAGCCTGCACATCCTTGGACCGCGGGAGGAAACCGGAGCACCCGGAGGAAACCCACGCAGACAGTGTGTTCTCAAGTGTGTTGAACTAGGATCATCGCAATATCATGTTTAATTGCGCTTTTGTTGAACTAGGCAAAATCGTTTGAGTGTGCAGTATTTCAAAATATAGCTGTGAAACTTAGCAGGGGCTTTTGGGCCTAGTATCAGGATAACGCATTGGCCGCTTAGGATTGAGATGAGGAAATGTTTCTTGAAGATTTTTTGGATTTTTTGGAGTTCTGCAGATGTTCAGCCATTCAGGATATTCAAGGCTGACTTGCATTTTTTTCATCTTTAAGGCAATCAAGGGTTTAGAAGTTTGGCTTGGAAAGTGGAATTTTGTTTGAAGACAAGCCATATTCTTAATGAATGGGAAAGAAGAGCCCTGAGGAGCCATTTGACCCTCTATTTTTCCTGTTTCTGTTTCTCTTATGTTGGTCTCTTTTGAGCTATGTCCTTTTTCTATCACAGAAGTTCAGGTGAAGATCAAAACGATTGTCCTGTCCTGCTGGAGCAAGTTCATGACGAAGGGGTGGGCCGCTAATTTTTGGAGAAAAACACTCCGCTGAAGGGGAAACAGAGTTACTCAAGCCTAATTCCAGTTTGGAATTCCATATTGTTTCTGGGTCTTTTCATCAGAGCTAAGGACCTAGAGCACCTACCACCACTCTGTCTCATGAGCTTTCAAAGCAACAGTACCCATACTCAGTGTAGTGGGAAAATTCACGGCAAGCCTACCAACATTAGACAGAATATTGGATATACATTACCTGTGGAAACAAGTTGGGCAGACAAATAATCTACAATAAAATCAGAAATGTTTCTTTGTTGTTCCGTTGATAAATCTGGATGTAATTTGTCCAGTTCTCTCACTCTGTAAGCAAATGAATATGCAAAATGTTGTGTGAGGCTGTGTTTAACACTGATCAAACAATAGGTGAACGCTCAAAAATGAAAGCTAAAAACCAAAAGAACTGTGGATACTGGAAATCAGAAACGAAAACTGAAATTGCCGATAAAGCTCAGCAGGTCTGACAGCATCTGTGGAGAGAAATCAGAATTAACGCTTCCCGTCCAGCGACCCTTCCTCAGAACTCAAAAATGAAATATTGCTTGATGTGTACTACTTCCATTTTGTAGAAGGTGGGGGGGTGGGGGTGGGGAGGTGAAGAGATAAATTTCTTATTTTTGTCCTTGGTTACTACATGTAAATAATAGAAGGGAAGGCCTCTTGCTTTTGAATCAGTTGCTTTTAAGAGGAAGCATAAACTTTTCATTCGCATTCATTTCTTTAATGTAGCAGTAGATTGAAACTAGTAGGCATGTGTGATCCATGCTTTCAATGAAGAAACAATGTGGTTCACTGCTTCCAAATGAATTATTTTGGGCTTGAATTTAATGTTATGCTTGACCAAAAGAGAGTATTGAAAACTTGGCTGCCATTTGCACTCTGACCTATGACATTGCAATGAAAAGGAAAATCAACTGGGCATAAAAATTAGCACTTCACTTGCTGGGACCCACTTCCTGCCCAACAGCAACAATTGAAATGATTCAAACTCTGGACTTTATAGGACAGTTATGTTTTAAACTGTCTCTTTTAATTCAAAGTAAAGTGGAGCAGTTTGGAGAAAGGGAGGTGACCTCCCACACATTCTGCACAAAGTCAAACCTATGTGACCAGGTAGACATGGGGATAGGAAGACCAGCATAAAATTATTGCAAGTAAGGTACAAGTTTTAGTGCCTGGGCACAAAGGAAAAAGCAATGGGTGTCGTCCCCGTCCCCGTCCCCGTCCCCGTCCCCGTCCCCGTCCCCGTCCCCGTCATTTACACATGCACAGTACATGGACTCTGACCAGCCAGTCCCCTGAGTGAGGGGAATCCCCAACACCCCTGTTTATATCTGTCAGCCAGGGCTCCTTGATTGGCCCAGGTTAACAATCCCAATCAGGGAAATCATACTCAATGATATCCACCCGGTCAACCTCATTCCAGTCACTACAACCACAAAGTAGTTGAGTCCCAATTTGAACAGACAAGGGTTGAGGTGAGATCTTGCTCATTGACGATGGACTAAATGGCTTCCGTTTTGCCACAATAATGTTGTGACTTTCTGCAAACATTTAATTCCAGATGAGCTCAAGACTATGCCATAAAGTGTTTTTGTGGTGTGAAAGGTGCAAATTCTTTCTTCCTTCATTTCAATGATCTTTAAAAGCTTGACTGTAAGATCTCACTAATGAAAACAGTATCAACTACCTTAAGTACAAACAAGAGGTATCATGCACTAACGTGGCACAGTTCAGAATTGACACAAAGTCAAAATTTGAATAATATGAATCATTTGCCTTTAAAAATTGCATTCAATGTGAAATCACCACGAAACAATAGGTATATACTCACATAGACTGGTAAGCTTTGCAGGTTATGTTGTTGGGAATGGTGTCAAGCTCATTTTTTGTAATACTGGGCAGCAAAAGACATAATTTGGTCTGGAACCAGTCAATATAGTCGATGGTTTTAAATATTGGAAACTGAGGTTCCAGCAGCTTTATGATTCTGCTCAGCATTATGCGCCGCACTCTCGAGTTTTTAATAACAGTAATGTTCGCCTGAAATGAAGAGAATATTGCATGGACTTACTTCTGTACCCTTTGTGAGAAACCCAGTGACACTTCGACATGAAAAATAAGACTGTGTCGCCGCAACATGTGTGTCCCTTCCCACATACTTCTGCCTTAATCACTAGAATGGCTGGAAAATAGCCAAAAACCTTCATTAATGTGTCTGTGTTCAACCTAAGTATCTCACTGTCTATGATGTTCCTTGGTGTCAGAGCCTCAGGTGAGGATTTAATGGGACTTTCTTAAGCCTAGGCACATAGGCCCAATCCAGCAGTCACTGGAGAGTCTAGGCAAGTTTGAAGTCTCAACTCTACAAAAGGACTACATTTCTTTAAAACATTTTTACCAGCGTCGATTGCCAAGTAGATGGAGTAAAATCTATCTGGAAAGCAGCCACATTCCCATTTCCCATCTTCCTCACCCACCAACAACTTACTTATATGCTAATTTCTAGCATAGCCTTCTGCATTGATGCAATAGGGGTGTCGCAGTGACATAGTATTAATTAGTGTCAAGCAAATGAAGGACGTGCCCCTGTCCTTGAGCATTTCAGCGAATTGAACACTAAAGGTCTAGAGTGGGGAATTCTTGGCATTTGTTCAGAGGTGCCGAACGTGGGCATGCAAATATCGAACAGCATGGACCATGGAAATGCAGACTTGGTGTCTGACTGTGCCCCCAACCAGAGAGTGTTGCTGTGTTAAGTCTCCTAGGCTTAGTGCTTCAACACAAAGGAGAGGGACCCAGCAGAGAGTTATTGCTCAAGTGACCAGCATTAGTGGTACTTGTTCATAGTTCATAGAATCCCTGGTGTGGAAACAGGCCCTTCAGCCCAACAAGTCCACACCAACCCTTAGAACATCTACCTAGACCTATCCCCCTAATCTAAACATCCCAGAACACTACGGGCAATTTAGCATGGCCAATCCACCTCGCCTGCACATCTTTGATCTGTGGGAGGAAACCGGAGCATCCGAAGGAAATCCACGCAGATACAGGGAGAACGTGCAAACTCCACACAGACAGTTGCCCAAGGCTGGAATCGAACCCAGGTCCCTGGCGCTGTGAGGTAGCAGTGCTAACCACTGAGCCACTGTGCCGCCCCCAAAGCACCCCTTCAGGTGCAAACCGCAAGTGCTGGTTAGAAATGCTAATTTTTAACTAGTGCCTATTTAACATGCACTCTCATTTAAACCGTAAAGGAGATGAAATTGCTCTTAGGCGATGATAACAAATAAGAATGCAGCCAACAAACTGGCATCTCTTTACACTCCCAATCTGATTTTGTTTCCATTGCACCCAATAGGAATTTTAGGAATAGAAACCCAACAGTCCATGACCATTCGTTTTGTACCTCTGTCAAAGCTGAGTTTTGGTCTCAAGATCCATTCTTATATGATGAAGTTGAACATAAAAAATTAAGTTGACAAGTATGACATGATAGAATCATCACCATTTGGATATACAAGGTAATTTGCAGCTTTGCAGCCAATTGCAGACCGAGTCCAATTTTCAACATGTAGAAGGTCACTGAGAGAAAATCAAACAAGTTCTGCACTGGACAGACCACACGTAGCATTTAATCACTGCCCAGATGGTGAAGATGGAAATTTTGCACATGGACACTCAAATAATCTATCTCACCTCTTGAGTTTCTCGATTAAATTGAGTAATGTATTTGTTCAAGTCTCTGAAGCCTCTGCTTGCAAGGGTATCAAGTATCTTGCTGATATTCTCTGTGCTATTCAATGCAGAGGTTACAGTCAGTTCAGCAAGTTGGTATGGGCTGAGTAAGTCCAAAACTTCGAACTGAAAAATAGACCAAACAGTGCACAAGTTAAAGTACAGTGATATTCATGGGCCACAAAAGTACGATAAAGATATAGGTTTATAGTTGGAGATCAGCGGTAGGAATTTTACCTTGATCTGAGTATGGGAACGGATGCCATCAGCTACATTACTCTTGGTTAGCATCATGTCACCGCCCCCCACCATGTCATTTTTGGGAGACTCAGTTCAGGGATAGGAGAGCTACCTGCCCACATAAACCAGCCAGAGAAGCTTATTCAGTTAATTAAAAAGCCAACTAAAGCCAGTGAGCAGAATCCAAACAACATTCACGATGTGATCAACCACAATCCCTTCCTGGTGGTGCACTGTGCGGGAATGGGGCCAATGCTCCAGGATGACTCCGAGATTCCCCCTGCCTCATCTACCTAACCACAAGCCAGTCTGGTGGGTTTACTCTCGACAATGTTGGTCCATAACTAGTCATTTTTCCGTTCAAATCTTTTGAGAGGGCATTTCAAGTTGAAGGCATTTCACCCGTGCTTGCAAGAGAAGCTTTCTCTGCCCTGAAAGACCCCCTGTTGGCCCTCCATCTTTGAGGGTCCACCCGCTCTTCTTACTTGGAGGGCAAGATGGTCTTCTGACCACTAATGGGCCAATCCAGGAAGAAAAATGTCAGATCACTGCTCCCACATAGTGCGGAGTCAGGACTGCATTTGAGCCCAGCGTTGGGCTCCCGACTGAAATCACTGCCCGAAGAGGTGAGGATAAAAGAGATGCCACAGTTTCAATCACTTACACCAGAGAAGTTCTTGTTTAGAGTCACAAAGTCACTGTATTTAAATTGTGCCATGAATCGGAAGAAGTTCTTTATTATCCATTCACGAGTTCCATTGGTGTTGTCAACACACACTATACCTAAGGAGCCTGCAGGACAAACACTGATGTTATGAGCTGTTTGATTTCATTGCACATGTTATTTATATAATCATAAGACAGTAATTTATAGTTCCTTTGCACTACAGTTTTTGCTGCACTTTATTTTGCATTCTATTACATGATTGCCTTAAGTTCCGAGGTATTCTGAAGTAGGCACCTCTACTTCTGTAAAGTAGACATGACTTTCCTTCTGCTCTGCAGATTGTTCATAATACTTCAGTGATACCAGAAAGTCCCCAATGGAGACAAGATGAGATTAGCTACTTGATGTTACCAGGGCAGCTTACATTTATCTATGGGACCACAGTTGTGTTTTGAGCTGCAGTCCTTTGGCTCATAAGGACTAAACATGATGTTCATGCTCCCCATCCCCACCAAACCCAAACACCCACCCACTCACACACACACACCCAACCACATACACTCTCACACACACATAGACATGCATACACACACACTGACACCCACACACACACTCTCACACACACACATAAACACGCACACTCACACACACACAGACACTCACACACACACCCAACCACATACACTCTCACACACACATAGACACGCATACACACACACTGACACCCGCATACACACACACTGACACCCACACACACACACTCTCACACACACACACAGACACATACCCACACACACACACACACACACGCCCATACACACACTCACACCCACACACACATACACACCCACCCTCTCACACACACACATAAACACGCATACTCACACACACACACAGACACCCACAGACACACACACTCACACACACACACACACACTCACACACACACACACCCACACACACACACACACACTCACGCCCATACACACACTCACACCCACATACACACCCACCCACCCACACACATACTCACACACACATAAGCACGCATACACACACCCACACACACACACACACACACACACACTCTCACACACACATAAACACGCATACACCCACCCACACACCCGCATACACACATTCACACACAAACACACACATGCACAGGTACACACAGGCACACACATGTGCCACATAGACACAATGGAGTAAATTTTGATTACATTTAGTGGGACATGAGTGTCACAATTCATGATCTGCAGATGAAGTGGCTTCCATGCTGTTTCTCTCTGCTCCATGTGCCTGCAGCATCTTTGCTCTGCCATCATGATTCCAAGCCTGCTCTTCTTACAGATTACTGCTAAAGGGGAGTTGTATAATGGAACCAATCACTTCTGCAAAATCAACTTGGAAGACTCCAAAACCACAATGGAACAGCATGAAAGGAAAAACCCTCCCGAGTTCAACAAAGATGACTTGGAAGCTCTCGTGAGCAAAGCAGACTCCAGCAGGGATGTTGTGTTTCCCTGAATCAGGAGGAAGCTCTCATGCACAAGCCTGGGAAGGGTGTGGGAGCACACTGCCAGGGCCATTCATGATGGAGGTCTAAATGATCTCACAAAAGTGAGAGGTGAATGAAAGCATCTTTATATCATGTTCCCTATCCATTGCATCATCAACCTGTCACTTTGTTCAAGGTACCACAACATCACTTGTGTGTTAGCTTGTGTGTGGCAGACCAACCCATGATGGATGATTTGGTGATCACTGTAGCACAGATGGAGTCTTCCTGAGTTTTGTGTATTCGCTCATAGGATGTGGGCATCATTTTTTGCCTATCCTAATTTGCCCTGATGTGGGTGGTGGTGAGCTGCCTTCTTAAACATCTCAGTCCTTGCCATGTGGGGACAAATAGAGCGCTGGCAGGAAGGAGTTCCAGGATCCTGACTCAGCACAACAAAGGGGCAGCCATGAACTTCCAAGTCATGGTTGTGTGTGGCTTGGAGGAGAGCTTGAAATGATTAATCACACTTGTGTGAATTATACTGCAGTGCACACCATGCTTACCAGGCAGGGTCAGAGTGTTACCCTTGTGACGTCAGGTTTCAGTGCACAATAGTGGCGTGCAGGCTATTACCGCAGTCCGTTAATCTGTATTCCAACAGATTGTGAGATTTGATGAGGTGCCACTTCTTAGGAGTTGTATTGACTCTTTGATGGATGGATCTGTTGGCCTGCCTCAGATGACAGCATCCATCATTTTAGCTCTGCCAGCGATGTTTGTGTTATGTCAGCTAAGCCTGTCTGCTACTGCCCTTGACAAGGTGTAAACTGACCCAGAGCAATTCGCAGCATCTCCAAGGCCACCTGAAGTCTCTCACAGCCATGCTGCAGTTACCAAGACAGCATTGCACTAGGTCAGAGAGGATCACCTACAGAACAGGTATTAAGTATGAACTGTCTTTGATGTTTGTAAAATTGGATGTATTCTTCTACATACGGATTAGTGAAACCTTTTGATGGTGGCTTTTATTGTTCAATGTTGCCATTCTCCTATTCCACTGCATCTCACAGAGCTTCCCTTCTGAGTTTCCTCTATTCCATTTGCAAACTGACAGGCCCTACAACAACTGCTCCCATACCTGGGTCAGATAGTCTTTGATCCTCCTTGGCTACATTCTAACAAAGGCAAACAAACACTGCTCAGAAAATATATTGAAAATTACCTCCCCTGCAAACAGTGGAGCGGTGCTTTAGCTAATGCAGGTTTGGATCTCATCTCGCAGCTGCACCCCTGTTCTATACTGACGGATGCACGGGGATTGTCCTCATGTTGTCCATGTTTCTAACCTTGCCACAGCACCAACAAGCTTTGCTATGGAACCTCAGGGCTGCATCCTTTCAAGGTTTTCAGTGCACCCAGAGGATGTCACAGTGGTGTAGTCGCACCATATCCAAGTAATCCAGCAGCTCAGGCCAAAGCCCTGAGCACGTGGGTTTGAACCCACCAGTAGCTGGAGGAATTTAAATTTAATCATTTTTTAAAAATCTGGAATATAAAGCTAGTTCCAGTGATGGTGCCATAAAACTACCATCGGCTGACTTAAAAACCTATCTAGTTCACTGATGTCCTTTCAGGAAAGAAATCTGCCATCCTTTATTGGTCTGGTCTACATCTGACTCTGGGTCCGTAGTAATTACTGAAAGTGAACTGCTCTCTGACATAATCCATCAAGCCATGCAGTTCAAGGGCAACTGGAGATTGGCAAAGAGTGCTGGCCTTCCAAGTGACACCCACATCCCATGAAAGAATAAAGAAAACAAATTGGCCCATGCCTTCAAAGGTCACAAATCACCTCCGTTTCTTGCAGTGATTATTAAAATGTACTGATTCCACACTCTTATCCCAGGGCAGCTCATTTTGCTGGAAATCAGGGGGCAGCTGAAAGCTTCTAATCGCCGATTAATAACGAAACAGGAATGTCTCATCTCCACACCGTGTCTGCTTTGGATTGTGCTGGAGAGGTTTTTTATAAGCTCCATTATCAAATTTTTTGGACCATCCAAGTGTTTGGGTGAATTATTAAGACCTAGGCCTGTATAAAGAAACCATGGAAGTGCTAAACAGCATACTTGGAGGCACAGAGCACCTGTAATGGGTCTCTGTGCCCAATTGCTCCCTGGAGCATTCAGGAACTGAGCATTTTCTGGTGCAACAATGAGAGACCTTACAATGTACAAGAAATCATCAATGCATCCTTTTATCAGGGATAGTTACATTTAAATATTTTTGCCGAATCTTATTTTTCTGCAGTAGCACAGTACCAAATGTATCCACGATAAAACATCTCACTACATAGTCTTGTGAAAATAGTGATAAACTATGGACTATTGATTTTAAGATTCTGTCATCTGATTTTAATACCTGAGACACTCATGTCTACAATATTACATTGAATGGAATGATGCCAAAATCACCAGCAATTTATTCTTTGCACCATTTATTGATAAAATGGATACATTACCTGATACATTGAGTTGGAAATTCAGAAACCTTTTACCAAAAGCGTAGATCTCATGATTCTGTGACAGTGTAAAATTTAGATATAAATTATCCAGTCCTTTCAATCTATAGAGACAAAATAAAACAGATTTTATGATTTGCATCTGAGAATCGTACCTCTGTGTTTATCAGTCAGCTGTATTTTTTGTGGGTTTTGTATTAGAGTTTCTCTCTGGTTCGGACCTGAGTTGCACACCTCACTGATGTCCCCTCTATCACTCAGTCTGCAGAGTCACCATCCCTAACTATTAAAGCAATTCATTTAAACAAGCAGAAGGAATAATTCACAATCACAGAATCATTACAGTACAGAAGGAGGCACTCAGTCCATTATGTCCAGCCTAGCTCACTGTAAGGGCAACTCAGCTAATGCCAACTCTCCTGCCTTTTCCTCTTTTTCTTCCAACTTGCTTCGCTTCAGGTTCACATCCAATTATCCTTTCAAAGCCACAATTGTGTTGATCTCACCCACACTCTAAAACAGTGCAGCATTCAGTGTTGGTCAAATTAAAGCTCTCCGTAAATGAGTAACTGGAGATATTAGAAACATTACAGTAATAAAACCACAAACAGCGATACCATACTTTTCTACACATTCTATTTGTCCAATATAATCTTAAAGAGCAGTCAAGAGTACTATTATATATTTATCCTCACTATCATAATAATTGGGTGCTTAAAACAGTATAGAATACACCATCAACAATTAAGCCATGGAGTGGTTAAAAAATATTGTTCTGTCCCTTTCTGTACCTTTCTTTATCACAAGGTGTGCACCATCACACATTGGCTAGTTTGGTCCTCTACATTTCTGAAGATTTGTCCTTCGTGACCCTGTCTGAAATTGGCAGGCATACTGTTAAAAATGGTTAAAAAAATTTAAAAAGTGAAGCCACATGTGGAGTGAAGAATGGAATTTCTTTCAATTGTTTTGGCAGGGACACTGTTGACCCCTTTTTACTGTACAATGGGTAAGTGGAGGACCTGAGCCTGGCTCCTAAGTGGATTTCCCTCCTGTGGAAGCCATCACATTGTAAGTCTGCTGGTGGTGTCAATAAGCAGGTTAAAGGAACAGAGTTGATGGTTTCTTCTCTCTCCTGTCAAGCTCATGGTCTCAAAGGATTGGATTTTACAGTCTCTGGAGGCAGGCAGGCAGTAGGAGGCAAAAATACTGACACCATGCTATAGGTGCTGTTCCCATCACCTACCCAGCCTCCTGCACTGCAATTCTATTGGGGGCAGGAGGTGTTAGGACAGCAGCACACCAATTGGCCAATCAATAGCCACTGAAGGGCCTCCTCTTGCTGCTGCTAGGATCTACCTTGGGTCAGCCAGGGCTTTCACTGGTCTGACCACAAGCCAGCAATGTGTAGGGGAGCATGCCTTATTTATGGTCCCCCATTTCCCCAGGTCTTTCCTGATCCCTCCCTCCCAGTTTCTCCTTCCCTGTCAACAACACTACCCAGATTCCCTTGGCCTCGTGAGATCCACCATCCTCCCAACTTAAGCTCATACCCAGCTCCATCGACAATCCTCATCAGAAAGTACATACAGTTGCAGCCACTGCTCCTCACTAATTGGCTGAACACTCTCAGAGATGGGACGTTCTTCTCAGGTAGATGCAGACAGCTCATCTCAACTGAATGGAATGGCACCGTGAATGGCTGGCTAAGAATTTCGTGGAAGGAGGATCTCTGTAACATCCAGCCCAAAATGTTCCAGCAACCTTGGGGTATTTTATCCCTTTCAAGCGCCCTCACCATTCCCATTGCATCAATGCTGGGATTTGCTAACATCACATGGTGGGTTGAACTAGATTCAGAGGAAACCTGTCTTGGTGAAGGATTGCCCCGAAACATGGACAATCCCTTAATGAACATCTTATTATGTAAGGAAAAGCTTTTCTTTGTTTACTTCCAAACGATATAACTAAACATTGCATTATGACTGCCAATTATAGCTTTGTGCGTCAACAGATCTCATGGCAACCTAGTACTTCAACTTCAAGCACACAATATTTTTGCCTCATGGCCAGTTGTACAAGAGGGCAGTATCAGATCCTGTCATCTCCAAAATGGCAGAAGGAGCAAGGAAAACTACTTGACAGCACAGCCTGCCTCCTCTCGAGGTTTCCAGAACATTCCAGCATAATTCTCTGTCCTAATATGGTGAAGGGTGCGGCCAAGCCTGAGGTCATCTGAAGCAGATATCCCAAAATGCCATGTTTATCACTTCCAGGCTGTTCTCGTGTCAAAGCCTAGTTTTGCAGCTAAGATTCTTTTTGGATACATAAACTAGATCAGGCCAGCTTTAGTGACCCTACTGTTCAAAATACATGAGTCAAAGCCTCAAAAGACAATTCTAATTATTTTACTCAATACAAAGACAATAGTACTTGACTTGAATAGATATCATGTCAACATTGTGTTTCACTTCTCAGCTGACCTTAGGGGGCAGCAGCTCTCGGAGGTGAGACCTCCCCAATAAAGAGGGAGGAAGAGGCACCTTGAGCAAATTAAAGGGCCTGAGAATTACCGAATGGCACTACCACCTGCTGGCCAAGTCAGCGTGGGGGCGAGCTAGATTGCCTTTGGTTTTTATGGGGAGACACTGCTCCCTGAGAAGTTAAATCCAAAGTGTGATTTATTGTTGCTCAAGCTAAGAAAGCTGCCCATCAATAAAGCCTGTGTAATTTGACAATATACTCACATGGCTCGATATGATTCACATGAGATATTAGTGGGGATAGAGGCCAGCTCCTCGGCTGTGATACTGGGCAGCAGCAATTGTAATCTTTTCTGGAACCACTCAACATAATCTGTGGTATTGAATCTTACAAACCGGGGTCCCAATAGCCGCATAATCCCATTCAACAATGTGTCTCTTACTACTGTGTGTTGAATGGATGTAATGTCCATCTGAAACAAAAGGATAAGTTGATTCATTGATTGCACAGTAACTATTTGCATGAAAGTGAAAAATGCTGGAAACGGATGTTTATTTTCACTGTTTCAATTACAAGCTGTGAATCAAATCACACACCTTTTATAATAAATGTTATTCAATCCATTAACTTCACTTCTGTAAAGGTTGGGCATTCTGCACTGCCAATTAATCTATAGCCGATGGAGATTTAGCTTCATAAGACAAAAATAACCGATCCACTTTGATATTTCTTACTTTGTAACAAAATACATCTTATATCCACCCAACTAAACACAGTTACAGATTTTAATAATCACTTTTTCATTATTCCTGTAAGTGTTAACAAGTAGACTGAGGAGCAAGAACTGCACTGATTTCTTTGTAATGATTAGAATCCCTTAAGTGTGGAAAGCAGGCCAGTCGCTCAAAGCTGGGATCAAACCCAGGTCCCTGATGCTGTGAGGCAGCAGTGCTAACCACTGAGCCACCATGCCACCCTATACCTGTTTCTTTTTTTATTGTCACTGCTCATGCTAATGCTGGTTAAAATGTAAAATGTTCTAGCACCTCATTCCACAAACTATGATGTAACTCAATTCAGGGAAATGCATATAGCACCAACTTCTGGATGGAACTGGTACCTTTGCTTTGGTTCCAATAAAATGCCATCAGTGTTTGCATTACAAAACGCTAATAATTTCCATAATTTCATTGCCTATTATGTTGGTAACCTTCTGAAAGTAAAGTTTAAATAATTGCAGATAACAAGGTGTAGAGCTGGATGAACACAGCAGGCCACGCAGCATCAGAGGAGCAGGAAAGCTGACGTTTCGGGCCTAGACCCTTCTTCAGAAATTTCTGAAGAAGGG